AAGACCACGAAGCTCAAGGAGGAGGCTAATTAGATCGAACAGGAGACCAAGAAGATCCAGGAGCTCGGTGCTGAGAAGAAGGCCAAGGAGGCTAGGAAGCGAGACGCCAAGTCTGACAACGACGACGAACGCGAAACGAAGAAGATCAAGAAAGATACCGGCGAGCATGGCAGACGAGCCTAATACAAGAATGTCAGATCCCAGATCATTTCTCTTCGAGATGACGGCATCGAAGAGTGCTGCGCTCAACCGCAGACTGGTCAAGGACAACTTGCGGTGGAATTCCAGACTGAAGCCTGGCCCTTTGTCCGTGGTCTCAGGGCATCTGCACCCAAGGCCATCAAGAGGAACTTTCGGCTAAACCACAAAGAGTTCATGAACCATCTTTTCTCTTTAGATACATACAGTTGAGCCTCATTGATATTACAGGCTGCTGATCGTCATATAAACACAAAAAGTACAGGCGTTTACTCTCTTAACAAGCGAGTTTCTCAAGACAGTGTATCACGTCTATTTATACCACCAGGTGAAGGAAGTATAAGCCCGTGTGAATAGTCCAAATATCTACGAGGACCCTCCTTGTTCCTATTCCATTTTGACATTTACGACCTAGTAAACGTACTGCGAGGGGTTAGTCATATAACCCATCATACGAGAAAATGGTGATTTCTTACCTTGAAGTATTTATTCTGCAAGTCCGTCTCGTCCCGAAGACCTCGCTCGTACGCTTGGTTCTCGTTCTCCTGAGAAGCCGCATGTTCCGACTTTCTCGATCGGTTGCGGAACCATAGGAGAACCCAGATGCCGCACAAGCACGCAATCTGCACGCCGATACAGAAGATCATCATCGCCACGCCCAAGGGATACCTCGGAGCCTGCTCCGCCTTGAAGAAGAAGGGGCCGACGAAGTTGCCGAGGCAGTACCCGATGAGGAGAATGGCGTTCGTCGTGATCTTCTTCGTGTGCCCGGCCGTGTTGGCCGTGGCGACGGACATGGACAGCGTCCAGGTGGCGGTGTAGGCGAACGAGATCCAGAGGCAGGCGAGACGGCGGTAGGGGTTGGACTGGTCGATCAGCCAGAGACCGAGGATTCCAGCAAGGAAAGGGGCGAGGCACACGAGCATGATGGCTATGCGGGCGTTGGGATAGTACGAAGCAAAGTAACTGCATCGTGTGAGCGTGGTTCGGACGATGCAGGAGTGAGAAGCGCGCTTACCATGCCAAGGGACAGAGAATGAGCTGAACACCTCCCGAGGGCATTTGAATGAGGGTGGTTTCGAGAGGCGAGAAGCCCATTCCCTTAATTACGAGACCTTGGAACTATAGAAAGTATCAGCACCCAAAGTCTTGGAAGACCGGCAAGTAAACGAACCGTCGTCAGCCCACCGTTGGGACTGTTACTCGCAACAGCGAACAGAAACAGCAACCAAGTCTTCAAGTCCGTCATGGCCTCCCTGAACTGGGGCCACTTGAAGGTCTTGTTCTCGACCCCCGTGCCGTTGGCCTTGACGCGGTCGATGACCATTGCCCTCTCCCTCTCCGACAAGAACGTCGTCGTGAGCGGCGACCCAGGCAGCAGGACCAGCATGAGGGCTCCCCATGCCACCGTGACCGCGCCCCAGAACAGAAACAGGAGCCGCCAGCTCGCGATGGACCCCCGGATGTGGCCGATGCCGAAGGTCACGAGGCCCGCGGTGACGTACCCCAGGCCCGCGGACCCGATCCAGATGCCCATGCGCACGGGCTGCTCCCTCCTCGAGTAGTACATGGAGAACAGCAGCATCGTGCCGGGGTTGATGGAGGCCTCGAAGGCGCCGAGGAACGTCCTCGTCGCTGCGAGGCCGGCGAAGTTGCGCGACGCGGCGTGGCACATGAGCACGGCGCCCCACACGACGACGGTCGCGGACATGAAGCGGTTGATGGGCAGCTTCTGCAGCAGGACGTTGGTCGGGAACTCCCAGAACAGGTAGCCCACGTACAGCAGGGCGCCCGCCCAGGAGTACTCGGAGCCGGTGAGGCCGAGGTCCTCGCGGACGCCGAAGACGGCGGCGTAGCCCAGGGTGGTCCGGTCGATGGACTGCAGCGCGTAGGTGATGCAGAGCAGCGGCATGAGCCTGAGGTCGAGCCGTCTCAACAGGGCCGCGCTCTCCCCCGCGTCGATGACCTCGCCCTCGGCGGTGTCGAGGAGGTCGAGGGCTTTGGAGGGCCCCGAGGCCACGGCCTCTTCCTTCTTCGTCGTGTCCGTCTCCATGCTTGTGTCCGATGCGTTCCTGGAGAAGGGCGAAAAGGGGTTGCGATGCGAACAACCAGCCGGCATTGGACAGGAAGTGACTATATGACCATCGGCGTGTAAGTGCCAGACCCACAATTGGTGTTTGTAGGTCCTGGGTAGCTCCACGATGCGATAGATAAGAGCTGCTGGTTTATCTGGGGCATCCTGTTCGCATTCCGCGGAAAACCCTTGTCATCGCTGTAAGTCGTCCGCGGTCTTCGCTTACTGCCCCCCGCGCACACCGTCGCAGTGAGCCGTGTTTCCGATATTGATCGCTGTCGGTGGGTGTGTCACGCTAGTTCATACTCTATGAAGATCGCCAAACAGGAAATGGGGGCGATGAGAGGGGGGGGAGTCGTGCTCAGCAGTAAGCTCAGCCCCGTGGAAGCAAGCGTGACACAAAAGGAGAAAAGAGAAAGCATGGGATTTACCCGATTTCCGTATAAGATTCTAACCTTGCACGAGGCGAAGAAGATGAGCTTAGATTTTCATGTTCAGTGGGATAGATAGGCAGTCATCTATGACTTCTTGTCTTCGCGATACAAGCCCTCATCCGGAGGCGGAACACCGTACCAGTCCAAGCCCAACTTGTCCTCGGGATCGGGGTCGGGCATCTGGTAGTACCCGTCGTACCTCCACCAAGTCCGATCTTCCCAGACGTCCTCGACCGGCAGGACCCCCTCGGCCTTCATCTCGTCCCTGACCTTCTCGACGCCGCGCCAGACCCGCAAGATGTTCTCGCCGGCGACCTTGGCGAGCTGCTCCTCCGTCGCGCCGCGGTCGAGGATGGCCTTCAGCAGGCTCGGGTAGCACTTGACGTCCTCCAGGCCGGGGATGACGGAGGCGATGCCGTCAAAGTCGGAGCCGAGGCCGACGTGGTCCCAGCCGACGCGCTCGGCGACGTAGAACAGGTGGTCGAGGACCATGTCCATCCTGGCGTCCCGCCTCCGCGCGGCGACGTGTTCCGGGACGAACGTCACCATCACGATGCCGCCGTTGGCGGGGACCATGTCGAGGATGTGGTCCGGCACGTTGCGGGGGCAGTCGAAGACGCCCTTGACGTTGGAGTGGGAGAACATGATGGGCGCGCGCGAGAGCTCGAGCACCTGCTTCGCGCAGTCCTCCGACACGTGGGAGATGTCCACTATCATCCCTGCGCATTGCGTGGTCAGACGGGGGGTGCCCGGAAGGGGGGGAGGAGGAGGGGGAACGGGGAGTGCACGCCTACCTAGTCTGTTCATTTCGACCACTGCCGAGCGGCCCAGTTTGGAGAGCCCGCCGTGGACCGGTCCGATTTTCGAAGTTGAGCTATCGGCGAAGGCGTTGTTGCATACATGAGTGAGTGTACACTTGTGGAGTCAGCGTCATGGTTTCTGCGAGCCTCAGAAAGAGGTCTGTGTGCTTGACTTACATATCTTACTCCCAGACGATAAAAGGCTCTGATGATGCCAATACTGTTACTAGCCATATGCAGCCTGCACCTCATGTCAGTCTTTTGGACCCACGCAGCCTGTATGCTTAGGTGTCGAATACGCACCCCTCGATGCCAATAGAGCAAGCAATCCTGCCGGACTCATAGATCCCCTTCACATCACCCGGGCCGTTCACCAACTCGAACGTCTCCGGGTAAGACTCAATCAGACGCAGCGTCAGGTCGATCTGCTCAATGGCGTCGCGCGCCATGTCCGAGTACTCGGGGGCGGAGAAGTTCTCTGCGGACCTGAGACAGGGGACGCAGACGGACCAGAACTGGCCGCCGACGGCACCTTCGGAGCGGTCATGTGTAAGTGGTCCTGGCCGGAGACGACAACCAAACGGCGCAGCCGGCACTCACCTTCCCTCAGCCGGGGGATGTCCGTCATGCCCCTCTCGAAGCCGCCGGCGAAGTCGAATTTGGGGTTGTTGTGGATCTTCCCGTGGAAGCACGCCCGCGGTTGCTGGGGCAGGTCATTATGGCCATCGATGAGAGGTGTCTTGAGGAGGACCCGCTTCACTCGTTCGTCGATGTCGAGCTTCTGGTAGGGGTGGACCGCTTGCGCCATGGTGAGAGAGAGAGAGAGAGATAGAGAGAGAACGAGGCCGATGTGAGATTACTGCTTCAATGATGCGGCCTCAGCTTGCGAGCCGATGTTGGAAGCGTCGTTTATCTACAGCTCAGGGATTCGCGGTGACCGATAAGCTGCGACTGGTACCGAGGGCAAGGACGAGGAGCTCTGGTGATACCTAGGTTCTCCTCGGCCAATTGACGCAGGTTTCCCGCGCAAAAGGGGGAGGGAGGGGATCCATAGATACGGGCCCATAGGCCGGACTTGGCTGATGTGCACCCGGAATCTCCAAGACTGGGTTTTGGGTGACCAGGGTCGGCCTTGTTCCCGAGGATTTGGGTGTTGGTGAGAGGTGGGATCGTCTTATCAGTGCACGATGGATGATGAATCATTCGCAGGCAATAGTTTTGTTCGTATCGGATATGCAAGTTTCTGTTTTCCACGGTAGTTCTTCTTCTTCGGGCGAGCTTCTACCAACCCACGAAGGCACACTCGTGCGCGCGCACATACGATGAAGCTGAAAGCACCGTAATCAGCACATGGGGTTAGAGGGCGACGCCGTCCGGAACAAAAGGTGTCTGCCACACCTCCCCTGGGATGGGCCACGCCAAGAATATGTGGCAACGGCTGGTTGACGGATATGGATATGTTGACGAGAGCGGTTCTGGATATGCCGCGACTGCCCGTGAACAATAGGTGTCTGTCTGCATTGCTAGATGGGTGCAAGCCTGGAGGTTTGTTACCAGCTGCCAAGGGAAGTTTCAACCTTTTCTGCCGGAACGTGGAAAGCATAATCCTCATTCCGGAATGTCTTCATTGGTACTGATAAGGTTGCTTTCGAATTCCTCCGCAGTTGCATCAACTTCTTCTTCTTCTTCTCCTCTTCTCATTCTTCCGTTTACTGAATATACCCGTGTCAAAGCCGCCCAGGGGTTTGACCTCTGCCATACCAACCACCACTGTGAGACCATTCTTAACCTTGCAGCTGTTGTGCATTTGGCCTGGCCTGTTCCATTGCTACTACGGTCGAAGACGACTGAAGGCTGCATATCGCTAGTAGTAGATGTGTCGCGATGTCCCAGGTCGACTCTTGCGGCCATGCAGGAATGCAGACTACGAGTCCCGACCTCAGGACACAGAGCACCAAGGGAAGCAAGGTATTGACGAGCGTGATCAAGATTCAGTCAATGACGAGGCGTGGAAGAATCACAATAACCGGCATCGTTACATTTTTCCTTCCGATGCTTGCGATCAAGAAGTATGTCACTAGATAGGAAGGGAGTGAGTTGCGTGGATAAAGATAAGAGAAAAGACCGGGTATCTGAGAAAGAGCAAGCATAATGAAACAAGGAAATAGACAAGCCCGAGTTGTAGTTGAAACAAGGCGATGAAGGAAGTCGCGCCGTCATAACTCATACAGTCCACAACGACAGGAAGGAGAATACCATCCCAAGAAATCCCCAGATGACTGAGATGACCTATTTTCCCTTGGCCGACTTCTTGCTAGGCTGTCGCCGGTTGAGCACCTTCATCTCAGGATCGACGACGAGGCCCTTGAGACGAATATCGATATTGTCTGTGCCGGCAGCAATAGTGCGGTCTGCGAATCCAAGTTCGTCAGAGGACGGATACGACAATATTGCCGCTCGCAACGCGAGAGAGAGGGGGGGAAGGGGTAAACTCACGAAGGGTGTCGCGGAGCCGCAAGGCGTGGTCGAACGTGCTGGCGAGCGCCGCCTGCCCGGTCTCCCGCGGGTCCCAGGAGCCCTGGATGCCGTCCAGGGAGAGCTTGAGGGAGTCCGAGGTCCTGAAGCGCGTCGCGTAGAAGACGGCGACGGCGTTGAGCAGCGGGACGGCGTTGGTCTCGGACGGGGCGCGGGTCCGCAGCAGGTCCCGGTAGATGAACAACAGCTGCCACAGCGAGGCCCAGAGCGCCGGCACCTCGCACGGCGGGACCCTTTTCGGGGCGAGGTACTTGTCGAGCGCGCCGAGCGCTCTCTCCTCGAAATGCGCGAGGGCCAGCCGCGCGATGGTCCTGAACTCCGCCTTGACCGGCAGCGGCAGCGGCTCGACGGCGTTGGTGTTCTCCCGGATGAAGTTGAAGTTCTCCTCGCAGCAGATCTTATACATGACCTTCATCTTATGAACGTTGTCGAGGAGATCCATCTTTCGATTGTCAGTATGGCGTCGTGGGGTACGGGGGGGGGAGGGGGGAATAGGTTCCATACTTGGGGCCGCCGGGGGCCGCCGGAGCGACAGGGGGCGGAATAGTCCTTGATGAAGAGCTCGATGAGGCCTTCGAATGTGTCTCTGTCTTCGGGGAAGACGATTTTCTCGCCCCAGCTGATCAGATCGTTCCACGAAGGCACCCCGTATTCCCTGGCGAGGAAGCATCCTTGGTAGATGGGCCGCTGACCATCGTCCGACATGCGACAGTAGTTTTGCAGCGCGGTAGACAGCCTTGTCGCTCCATGCGGGTCACGGCCGAACACCACATGGCCCCTGTGGACGATCCCGTAGTCCTGTGGCTGCACGAACTGGAGCGAGTATTTCGCCTCCAACTCGGCCTTCCTTTCTAACCCAGCGACTGGAACGTTGTTAGCTGATGGTTCATCATAATGCTGGTGGCCCCGACCGAACCACGGCCCCGGAAGACTTACAGTGTGCTGAGGACAGGTCGGCGGCAGTTGCCAAGAGTTCTTTGCGAACGCAGGCGCACTTTGAGTCCCTGGGATAGGCCTTGATGCATCTGTCACATGTACCGGAAGTTGTGCAATCGACTTTCCGAATACGGCACCCTGTGCAGGATCCTGTGGACCTGACTTGGTTTGTCTTGTACACGTCCCTGACGACGCGTTTCTTCCCGTTCGGACTGTCAGGCCGTGACCTCTTCCTGGTGGGAACCTGAAGAGTCTGCTCCCTGGGTGGGTTTGGTGTCTGGTCGATCCTGGGGAAGAGGAACGGGTGATTGGGGTATTCATTGAGATCAGGAGCAGCCAGGTCATCATTCCCATACCGGTAGTCTTCCGAGATGGGGGGGCCATAGTCCGTCAAAGGGGACCCCGGGTTGGATGGCAAGGTCTCGGGGGTGCGGATAGACGATGTCTCTGTCGTGCTCCCAGAGTCACGTACAGACTGCGAAGCATCGTCGGCCATGATGTGTGGAGGGGTTGGGTTGTCTTTGGGGCCGCGAGCATAAAGGTCGTAGTCGAAGTAATGCTCGAACAGCTTATTGTCCTCACTTAAGACATGCGCTTGACTGCTACCAAGGCCCGACTGGGTGGCCGGATACACCGCCGGGAGGGAGCCTGAGCGCTTTGCATTTTGATGGCAGTCCAGGAAGTAGTAAATCTCATTCTTATCGAGCTCCATCCTGGCCATGTAAGTCGATACGGGGGGGGGGGGGGGGGGGGGGAGACGGCAGGGGGTGGATTTACAACGGGGCAAGCAAACAAGCAAGCGTGGGTATCCAGTGCCTTGTCAAGGATTGCGGGACTTTGGATTTGTAGGAATGAAAAGTGATGAGGGGTTCGCGGTTTTCGCGCTCACGCTGTTATACCACCCACGCCCAGCTGAGGCTCTTCGATATCTAGCTTCAACAACCTACACGAAGCTCTCCATTCACATTCTCGGTGACGACCAGGTAAGCCATTGGTCAATGGCAAGCTGCGCCCCATATAAGCATACCAATCAGAGACCCTTGAATCACCGAAAATCGCATCCAGTTCATGCGTGAACAACCTGTCAAAGGTCCTCCGGGATCGTTATGTAAGCGGTCTGACGATGGGGATGCTACCTGCAGAGACACGGGATTCTCCTGCTCGTCTGCATGCGCAAAGTCGAGCTCATAACCCTTGACATGACCCAGTGGTGGGAGGACGTGGTTGGGCCGTCCCTCTCGGGGCCTACGGAGATAGATGATGCCGTGGCTATATACGGTTTTCTTGTGTTCCTATTGAACTGCATTTCCCTTCTCCCAACAATGTGCAAGACATATATATGATGCCCATCTCTGTCCTCGGCACGTATCTGTAGCCTGGGTCCGGGATGACATGAGAGTCCCCAAAGACCGTCATTAGCGGAACTGTCAGTATTATTCTAGCTTGTTGCTAGAACAAACAAGTGGACGTCGCAGTGGTGCCGAGTTTTTTTCGGATCCGACAGCACCGGAAGGGGGAGGGATGAAAAGGATACGGGATGAGAGTGCCCGTCCCCGTTGAGGTTTCGAGCCCGAGCAGGCGCTATCAGCTCCAATGATTAGGTACGCAGCCCTGGCGAGCAGATGATTGATGTCGAAGTTTCCTGCAGGAAATCTATCTCGAGCACGGCGGGCGGAAGGGACAAACAAAGAGGCGTGAAACTCCCGTCGGACATGGCGGAATTCAAATTGATGGCTGGCGTTCCGTTCCGTTCCGTCCCCGGACGTTTTGATAGCGGGGCACAAACGGCCGGGCATGGCGGGGTTGAGGTGGCCAACCGTCCAGCTGGCACACACAGGCTACAGCACACTTTAAATGCGATGCGATGCGGGATCCCCCCTGTAACACGGGGCGCGTGCGGCCCCACCTAGTCAAACCCATCACACGTCACTTTCCCAACGATTCTCGCTCGGGTCGCGCCATGTCTCTAACGGCCGATTGCATCTGCAGCTAGCTCCCACGTTTTCTCCCTCTCCAACGATGCGAACAAGCTGAAGCCATTGTAATCATGGCGCCCGGTCTGCTATCCTACATCCCCATTGTCAACCGCTTCGTCTCGGAGAGCGAGCAAGCGCACGCCATCGACATCCCCGCCGTCGAGGTCCACGATGTCGAGACCGATCACGACAAGCGAGCGCGGTGCCTCAAGCACTTGCTGAGGGCGAACCACGTCAACCACTCCGTCATCTACCATAACCTACAGTACGACAATCATGCCCCGCACATCCTCTCTTCTGCCTACCTCCTCGGCGCCAACGACCGCCAGCTGCAGACCATCTACGAAGCCGAGGCGAAGGAGCTCGAGCCCTGGAAAGAATCCCCCGCCGAGGTGACCGAGGACGACTGGAGGGACCTCTTGGGGGACAAGACGTACCAGAGAGCGTACCTCGACTTCTTCGAGGACTCGCTGGCCTACAGCTCGTACGACTGGAGGAAGGTTGTCGACAAGTTCATCTTCACCGGCGAGGAGCCCCTGATCCACGGACTCATTGGCGGCCGTACGTGTTGCCCCGAGGACTGACTGACTGACACCATGGTGCGTGCATCTGCTAACCTCTCGCAAAGTTGGCCACCCCCTCATCCACCTCGGATACGCATACGAGATGAACTCTAAGGAGATCGCCATCGAAGCACTCACCCTGGCAGCCACGCAATACAACTTCTTCCACAAGTACCTTGACGACAAGTCCTACACGAGACCCTCGCCATTCAGCTCCAAGTCAACATTCGAACTGGTTAACAAGTTGGCGGCAGACAGCCGTTTCGACGGCCTGTTCAAGGAGCCGGCACTGGGGAACCTCGAAGCCTTGTTCGACAAGCACGAGAGCCTCGTCCTGGAATACTGGAATGCTTGGACCATCACCGATCCGGTGAAACAATTTGAAGAATCGCAGGAGCTTGCCGTCGCGCTCTTCGTTGCGACGGTACCCCGCGGCACCCACGGATACAACTTCTTCACCGTGCATCTCCTCACGACAAGCCATGCCGTCCGCATTCTCCTCCCCTTCATCCCGGCCAAGTTCCACATCGATCTGGTGAGGGAATGGTGGCTGCTGGTCCTCGCTGTGTATATATCTCTTTTGAGACCCAAGATTGACCCCGACAATGTCGAGACGGATCTGAAGGCGCGACACTGGGGCCACGTCGAGCACGAGGCCCTGAACTCGCAGTGGGCAACAGACGCTCACTATGTCAAAGGTCGGTTCTGCGCACCCGGCGGTCCTAGACCATGTTTGCTGACATTCTCCAGCCATTCGCGCCATGAAGGAGGCGTCCAGGACATGGGGGGACGTACACGAACGCTACTTGGCGTCTGCTCTGACCTTTGTTGACAACTTCCGTGGATGGGTTTTCTGAGCGTCGGATGCGCCTTCTGCTGCTTTCCCGAGGCGTCAATGACATTATTGGGTAGGGGAATATCGCTCTCTTTTTTGACTTTTTTGTCCCCCCGACTTGGCGGGTGTCGCAGTGTCGCATGCGCTCTTGAAAAGTGGAGTAAATTGTACAACATATCGCGTATGTAGGCATGGAAATGAACGTAAACGTGTAATGAAAGCTTTCGATACATTCGAGGTCGAACGTCAAGTATAGTTGTGTAATTTCCTAGAGGATCAAGACCGTTGAGCGGACTCCAGAAACCGGCTTCAGTGAAGCTCTTGACTGAGAGACGCTGCGTCCAGCCTCGGAATGGTAGGGCTTCTTTCCAAACGGTAACGACCCGGAGGCTCGCTCGCTAGCTAGCCGAGGCAACTTTGTATCAGTGACATCTTCGCCGTCGTCTTCTGGTCGGACAGTCGGCGGGGATCTGCCCGGGCTCGCCAGGTACCGCCAGCACCGGATGGTTTAGCGACAGTTTAGTGCCCACTCGCCGTAGTGCCCGTCCAAGTGGGGACCCGATTAGCGAGGCTCCAAATGACGAGGATGCAGCTTAGCCGCCGAAGGCAGGTGCGTGCGTGCGTGCGTGCGTGCGTGCGTGTACGCTTGCCTTGTCGCGCTTTCTTCCATAGATACGAAAACTTATCGTCGCCGGCTTTTGCATCGTCAACCTCACCGAGAAACAAGGTCGCGCCAATTGACCTGCGACTTTGCACAGACATGCGCCCATGTTGAGCTCGCCAACCGCCTTTCTATCCAATGGCCCCGCCTGCCAAACGAAGAAGGCGCAACGTCGTCGAGTCCGACGATGAAGACGATCAACAGCCAAAGACGAACACCCTCACCAACTTCCTCCTCTCGTCACCTGCGAAATCCGACGGCCGGGGCGCTTCCGTGTCCCCGAGCCCCACGAAACCGAAGCCCCGTGTCGCCTACAACACCCGAGCTGTCGCGACCCCCGCCGTCTTCCAATCCCGGAACGGCCAATCCAACAAAGGCACAAAGAGCCCGAGCACGAGCCCAGAAAAGTTCAAGGGGAAGCAGCAGAAGCGCGTCAAGGTGGATGACAAGGGCCGAAATGGCGACCTCATGACGCTCTTCTCCAAGCAGGCGTCCAAGACCGGCGCCAGACCGGCCGCCGCTTCGGGGACAGTACCTCTCGACGACATCGTGAGCGACCCGATCTCGGAGGAAGACGATGTCGCGGAGCAGAAAGCTAGCACGTCGAGCATCGTCGGCCAAAACGCACGAAAACGGTTTCGAGACAGCACGCCGATCTCTTCCTCGGCAACAGCTGGCTCGAGCCAAAAGTTCCTCAAGCCTCTCCGTCCGATGAAGCCGGCAGCGCTCGACGACGACGACGACCTGCGGCCCTGGTCGGAACGGTTTGGCCCGCTCAACCTAGACGAACTGGCCGTGCACAAGAGAAAGGTGGCCGATGTCAGGAAGTGGCTGGAGGACGTCGTCGGCGGCCGCCTGCGCCAACGTCTGCTCCTCCTCAAAGGTGCCGCGGGTTCGGGGAAAACGACCGCCATGAGACTGTTGGCGAAGGACATGGGCTATGAGCTTCTGGAGTGGAGGAATCCAACAAACACCCTCGGCGCACATCTCGGGTACACATCCGCCTCGGCGCAGTTCCAAGAGTTCCTGAGCAGAGGCGGAAAGTTTGGGCAGCTCGACACAGATGTGCCGACCGAAGTACCACGTCCAGCCAGCGAAAAGTCCGCCTCTGCAGGGAAGATTATCCTCATAGAGGAGTTTCCCAACACCTTTTCGAGGTCATCGACTGCCCTGTCTTCCTTTCGAAGCACACTCCTGGAATACCTCGCGGCGAATACACCTTCACTGACGACCTTTGGGCGGCGGTCACCCAGTGAACCCATCACCCCTGTCGTGTTGATCGTCTCGGAAACGCTGTTGACCACGACATCGGCCTCGGCAGACAGCTTTACTGCCCACCGACTGCTGGGCCCGGAGATCTTGCGGCACCCCGGGACACGCGTCATCGAGTTCAACACGATTGCGCCCACTCTGCTCGCGAAGGCCCTGGAGCTGGTCGTGCTGAAAGAGGCACGCAAGTCGGGCAGGAAGCGCACACCGGGCCCTCAAGTGCTGAAGCGTCTAGGCGAGATCGGGGACATACGCAGCGCGATATCCTCTTTGGAGTTTATGTGTCTGAAGGGCGATCAAGACGCGGACTGGGGAGCCAAGGTTGCCTTGTCGAAGCAGTCAAAAGGCGCCAAGGCAGGCATATCCCTCACCAAGGGGGAGGAGGAGACATTGGAGCTGATATCTCAACGAGAGGCCAGTCTCGGCATCTTCCACGCCGTCGGGAAGGTGGTCTACAACAAGAGGGACGAGACGCCCTCGGCGTCAAATGCGGCAGAGCGCTTGCCCAGCTACATCGCCCACCATTCGCGGCCGAAGCCGTCGGAGGTCTCGGTCGATACGCTGATGGACGAAACCGGCACAGACACGCAGACCTTCATCTCTGCTCTCCACGAGAACTACATGTTCTCTTGCGAGACCGTGCCGCCTTTTGACGCGTCGACGCCCCTGGATTATGTCAACGGATGCATAGAGCACCTCTCAGAGAGCGACTTACTCCTTCCGTCCCGGGACAGCTTCTTTGGCGGCAGAGGCTCATCTGCAAGCTTCGGCAAGGACTCGGGTAGCCACGTGCTTCGACAGGACGAGATTGCCTTCCAGGTCGCCGTCCGCGGCATGCTGTTCTCTTTGCCGTCCCCTGTAAAACGCAAAGCATCGACTGGCGCCAAGGGCGCGGATGCGTTCAAGATGTTCTACCCGACCAGCATCAAGCTTTGGCGGACAAAGGAGGAATTCGAAGCTCTGGTGGACGTGTGGTCCACGAAACTCATGAAAGGGGAGGAGACGGCGCCCCGCAGGAGTCTCACGGAGGGGGCCAGCGCGTTCCGTCGGCCGAAGCAGACGGACGCGGGCAACTGGGTGGCCGACCGCCAGTCCAAGCCCAAGCCGGCCAACGAAAAGGCAAAGGCCGACTCCAACGTCGCACCGCTCCTTTCTCTGGGGAGCGCAGCCCGGCGGGAGATGCTGCTTGAGCGCCTGCCGTACATGGCCTCCATCGTCCGCGGGCGCAGGTCGACGTTGCACTCTTTCAAGCTTAGGGACATTGAGAAGGTTGTCTCGTTCCAAGGCATCGGGCCGCAGACGGGTGACGATGACGAGCAGGCCGAAGACGCGCCGGAGGACGGGATCGTGGCGGGCGACGCGTGGGCTACAGATAAGCCGTCAGAAGAGGCCTCGCCGCGGAAGAGGGGCTCGGTCATCCGGCACGCAGGAGACGGATCGGTGGCGGGTCTGCGGGTGCAGAACCTGGTCATCAGCGACGACGACATCGAGGACGACTAGGAACATGCTGCGCGGTCGGGTGACGGAGGGCATGGGAGGACGCGACTGTACAAAAACAGGCGAGGACCGGGTAACGGACGCTTTGGGATTGGGGTTTTACGGGCAGCGGAGTCTCTGGGCGTGGGGGGGGGGGGGGAAATGGACACTTTTTTGATGCCGCATCGCAGACGGGCCTGGAGATGAGGGCCTCGTGTAGATGACGGAGACGTCCCGCTTCTACGGAATAGATGCTGATAAAGAGCAACCTTCTGATATCCTCTCCCCCTCTACGAGACGCAATTTCACCACACTGGCGTTGGGGGAAGACTCCTCGCAGACGAGCCCTTCTCAGCCACGTCGTCTTTGACGTGCTCGTCGCCCTGCTGCCCGGCCCTTACGACGTGCCAAACTCGCCTGTGTCGTGATCAAGTCTCGACTTTTGGTTCGCAGGGCGTCCGTAGTTATGGTATGTGGGGGGGCGGCTTGGCTTGCGTTGTATACCCTTGTGTTCTCGAACCCGATCACTCGGGGTTCCCGGGGGGGGGGGGGGGGGGGCTTGGCTGCTGTGAGTCCAGGGGACTGGGAAAAGTGCCGTTGGTAACCCCCCCCTGAATATTCAGAAGGCAAGCCTGGACGATACAAGAGCATTTCTGGCGCCGAGGCGGGAAAACACAGTCGACGTCTCTGGCAAGTTGCAAGCCTGTAAGTACCTGCACACTAGTATACGGGGGGGCGAACGCGATCACCAATACAATGGCCATGCAGCGAGCCACCGAGCAGTTCTGGAAGGCTATGACCAAGGCCAGCGCAATTACCTCAAGGCTGACCGCGATGGTCCACTCTCATGGTCAACAAGGAGGCGTACGCCCTGCCCCAGATAATCGGTAGCGCCATCTACTACATGCGCGACAACTACTTCATAGACGACAACTTGGAGATGCTTAATGCTAGCACCATTCTGAATATGCTGGAGCTCCTAGTCATCAACGACGCTATTACCAAAGCCATTACAGACAACAAGAGAGACTTCATTCCCGAGATCGTCAAGGCCTATCCAGTGGGCAGACAATCCTACGCCGCGACCGGCGAGGCAGCCAATCCGGGCCTCACAATCGATACGGACAAGATCGAGATCGTGGTCAGACGAATTGCGGTCTACCAGCGATGGTTCAACAGACCCGGATGCGACATCACCGGCTGGACGTCCCGGGGGGGGGGGGACGGGAGAGATGGCGATGGAACAGCGCGTTCAAGACTGGGGTACGTATCCAAGTCAGTCCCCCTCTTGAGGTTGTACAGGTACACGCTAATACTCTTATTGCAGTCGGATAAACACAATATAAGCCATCATGCCCGATGCTCAACACCATGGCCCGCGTTCGAGACGTCCGGGGGGGGGGGGGGGGGGGGGGGGTCGCTTTCCAAAACCCTCCAGGTCGACGGTCCACCACCGATGCCTGCCTGTCATCGAACAACTGCGGGTGTGTGTGTGGTGGCGGGAATGCACGCCAATTTCACCACCGCATCCACGAAGAGCTTCGAGCATGCCCCGACTCCCCTCTCTCTCTCGTCTGTCTCACTCTGGCGAGATGACGGTATTTCTCCAAGAATTGATGAAAGAAAAAGAAAAAAAAAAACCCTCAGCGTGTGTGTGCACTGCTCGGGGGGGTTTTTTTTTCGATCACTATTTGCCCGCCATCCACCCGTCCCGCCGCCGGATCGGACAGACCGGGACAATACCCCCTTCTCCGCATTATCGGAGAAAGGGTGTTAAAAAAAAAAAAAAGAAGCCGGGCTGCGGACGGGTGGGAATCCGTCTGCCGACCCCCCGCATCGGGTCGGATGCGGCGTCATCGATGATCCCGGGCTCTTCGCCGGCCGCCACCCCCCTGAGCGGACAGATTACACCAGACGACGTTGAATTCCACCGCCATCCCTTCCGATGACGGAGAACTTGTGAAGCGCCTCGTGGGCCACGTTGGCCTATCTCAGCACGCATTCCAATATAGTCTGAGAAGCCCCCAAAATTGTCACATACGACCATACCCATTGGAGAACTCGGGATCCCGTCCGCTCTCCCATAGATAAGCCAATGAGGGCCGGATTAGTAGTTGGGTCGGTGACGACCAGCGAATACCTGGTGTTGTATGTTTTGGACTCTTTTGTCTCACTGTCTTGTCAGCTATCTACTGACACGCTCGCGAGCCTCTGTCAGCGGGCATGATGAGCACAGGAGGGTTTTGCAGTTATGAATTATTTGTTGACGTGATAGTTGGCTTTGTATTGTTGCTTCCTGTGTGTATCTGGCTTGGGGGGGCCGGCCTACATCTACACCTACAATACCGGGGCTCGTACCACGAGTGCTCGCGTAGGACAGGCGGCACGACAGCTCAACACCCTCTCTCCCCATGTCTCATCAAAAACATGCCCCCTTCCCCCACCATCGCCACGGATGGGAGGGGGGGAAGGGGGGGAAGCACTACGTCAAAGAAAGGGAGGAGAGACGAAGAGACCAAGGCCAAAAAGGCAAGACAGGAAATGAGACGGCCCCCAAAAATTCCCTGGGAAAGCATCCGTGGGGTGAGAGACAAGGTCCTTTCCCTTTCCTCCCGAACCCTCCACCCCCAGAGCCGAAACGGGCGTGTGTCTTTGTCGCGCGCCAGCAGAGAGAGAGGGGGGGGGGGGCGGAGAAATAACCCCCCCGCAGGGAAGTGCCGGGTGTTTGGGCGTCTACCTACATGCTATGGCGCAGGGAAGGGGGAGAGGAAGCAAGCAAGCAAAGTTTCGAGACGAGTGCCATCGCGGCTCACCTTGAGAATGGCAAACTCGCAACCAGCCGCCGCCATTTCTCAAACACACACACACACTCTCTCTCTATCCCGTCATCGCCGTACGACGGCGCACTTCCTGTCCGCGGCCCGTCCATTGGCCAATCCCTTCCCCCCGGGCCGGCGTCTTCCTCCACGCGTTCCTTCGTCCCCTCCCCAGGTCTCTCTCCCCAATGAAGGGGATGGACTTGCGGGCGTCACAAAAAAAAAAAAAAAAAAAAAGCACTCCATCCCTGATAAGAATAGCAGCACACATACACACTCACCTGCGAGAGACGGAGGGGAAAGGAAACCCTCTTGTTGAACAACAGCAACAACAACAACAACCATCCTTCCCCGGCCCGTCTAAGCTCTCCCAGAACCGCCTGGCCTCCCGTGGCGTCCTCTTGGCGTCGCAGGTGGTCCCAAGAAACTCGCTTTGCGGATCGATCTCGCTCTCTCTCTCTCTCTCTCTCTCTCTCTCTCTCTTATTGCGTCAGCGCACATATCTCGAGGTCCGTCCATCTACCGGTATGTGGCCTTACGTAGGGCGCGTATCCTTCCCCATTGGTTACACCCGCACCTTCGTCCGATCTGCGCGCCAGGTACGCTTCGCCCCCGGGTCCGCTTACACAGGTTGTACTAAGATGCGTGGCCAAAGGGCGGATCCCTCGCAGGGTCGCACAGGTATGTAGATAGTAGGTATTCGTGCTCCCAGTTCGCGTACGTGCCTCAGCATAAAACGCTACGCAGCATCCCTGACGCCTCTTGTGCGACGTGGAGAGGGGGTGGGGGAAGCGCCTCGGACACGTACTGAGGTACGGTCACAAGGCGGTCCCTCTTGAGGTGCCTCGGATACGTACAGCACGTCAGTAGTGTACCGGTACGGATACCGTAGACCGCTTGTTTTTCCTTCCGTCTCTTCCTGGCCTCCCCGGGTTTCTCTAAGCCATATCGGGGACGAGTTTGGCCACCGAGGCTTTCCCCTCCTGGGGAGGGATCGTCGCTGCAAGCTGCATGTACGTAAGCGAGCAAGGGCGCGACAGCCACATGCATCATGTAAGTAATACAGATAATTCATGCACTTTGGGGGAAGAAGAAGAAAAGAAGAAAAACACAAAAAAAAGTCACAGCGGGTTGGAACCGACAAATCACTGGTCCCGTTGCCCTCCCCCCTCCCCCAGTATTCGCACGCCCAAAAACATGGAGAAGGGGTACGTAAAATAAAAGAAGAAGAGATCTGATCTCCCCAGTTGTTCTTCCCCGTTTCGCCACCCTTCTCCGCCTCCACCTCCACAAACTACCTGTACTTTGGGTACGTTTACGCGTGCAGGGTTCGTCGTCGTCGTCTTTTGTTCGGTATTCCACTTTGTGCCAAGTCCTGCTCCAGGACCCTGATTTACAGTGGAACCCCCCCCCCCCATCCTGCCACCCCCCCGCCCCAAGGTTCCACGGGTCTTCCCCTCCCCCAAAACGGGCAATCCGTTTCGTGGGCGGATGATATGCTCTCATCGTGCATTTTCCCTATTCTCAACCCTTCCCGCAAACTCACATCCCCTCCCTTGCCCTCTCCCCTCCAACACCTCCTCGCAACTCTTGCAACCCGCAATACTCCGAGGCCACCTTGGTTACCTCCCTTTGGTATCATTTATCGGTGCAACCCGTAAGCTAAAAGAAGAAGAAAGAAGAAGAAAGCAAAAGAAGAGAGAGAGAGAGAGAGGGAAAAAAACATCACTGCTCTCCTTGATTCGAGATCGTCCGACCTCGCGCTTTCCGCACGGGAAACATAACCCCCAGAAAGGGAGGATGTAAAAAACAAAAAACAAAAACCCTTCTCCAACAACAGACAGATCGATTCAGGCCCCTCCCCGGATCCTGAACCTTCCCTCATGCGCCTCCCCCGACTTATAAGCCCAGGTGGAAAGTATCGCGCATGGGCAATGATTCATGACGGTGCGAGAGACGAGAGAGGGAGAGATGGGATAGTGTTCCGTATCTGCCCGAAAGCCCTTTTATTTTATTTTATTTTTCTTTTTCTATCCTTCTCTTTTTTGTCCTTCTTCCTATCTATCGAGTTTGTTTTAGACAAGATGTTTTAGAGAAGAAAAAGAAGGAGGAGTAGAAACGATGGACAAGAATGGCCGACGTTTCAACTGCCTAAAAGACACCACGAGGCGCTGCTGAACCTACCCGACCAACTCCTCTCCTCGCACGCGGGGCATAAGGAGGAGGAGGAGGAGGAGGAGGAGGATTAAGCGTGCGTTGGCTTCGGCCCCCATAAACACCACCACAAAACAATCACCAACGTCACGTCATCATCGCACGGCACTTTCCGCCCCTTATTTCCCCCTCACCCCCGGCCGTCATCGTGAGCAATAACCCTGGCCGGGCCCTGTTCCGTGTGCCGTCCCTCCCCCTCCATCGCAGGAAAAGAAGAAGGGGACGAAGGAAAAAAAAAAAAAAAAAAAAAAACCTCGCTACCGATCGATCGATCCACCGTAAGCTCATGCCCTCCTCCCCGCCCTGCATCCCGTCCCCTAACCACACCGGAGAGGGAGGGAGAGCACACGGGCGGTCCTGACAAGACAGCACAAACGCACACCCGCCCAACGCTCGCTCAAACGGCGGGGGGACGGGAAGACGGGAGACGAGGGTGCGGCGCCGTGTTCGTAGGGTAGGTAGCTAGGCAGCGTGCATGGTGTATGTAGGTGAAGGTGGGAGGGAAGTGGCCCACGATCTCCGCCAGGGTTCAAGGGAGCCTCAATATCAACCGCATTCCCTCTCTCCCTCCTCGATCCCACACACACACACACACACACGCTACCTCCACCACGCCCCCCCCCCCCCCAAAGAAGTATATCTGAACACAATACACCACGATGAGACAGAGGAGGAAAGAAGTCTGGATGCCGGAGAACCAAACCCCCCTTCTCCAACACGCCACCCCTTTGTGGGGAACGCCAATCTTGTTCGCCTTCCCGGCGGTCAGGGCCAGCGAGACACAGAGGATGACAGTCCCTTGCTGGCAAGGAGACGCCATCGAACGTGGAACGTAGGGAAAAGAAACAAGAAAGGGTATAAAAAAAAAAAAAGGAACAGAACAAAATCAGAGACATTGGGCGTGCTTCGGCACACACGACACACACGACCAACCCACGAGGCCAACGGCCGACTTCGCCATTACCGTGCCTGAGGACCCCCCACACACACGCGTTGAGCATCGAGACAAGATGTGTTTGTTCATGGATTGGCATTTGTTTTCTGCCACGGCGAGTTCATTTGCTCATGCCTTTTTCGCTGCCCTTCTATATACCACGGCCCGGATCCCATTCCATTCTCGTTTTTGTCATACATGAGAAGGGGAAGGGGGTGACCCACCCCCCCACCCCCCCCCCCCCATACCTCGACCCCAAACCTGCAGTCCCATAGCCGCCAAAGGGCGCTTCCGACGGGTGAGATATGCATTGCGGGGAGACAGGTCCTCGTGGACGCAGCCACAGCGCACCAATGTCTCCCAAGCCCGCGCAAATCGTTGCCTCTGGTGCTACAGCACCACGAGAGATTGCGCACCACCCACCATGATCCGGCCGGATTCTTCTTGTCAGAATAAGAAGCCCCATTTTCCTTTTGTTCTCCGCCTTCTTTCCCAATGCGCCGTTGCTGAAACCCAATACCTGGACCCCAAATGGCGTCCCAGATCATGATGATGATGACCGACCGAATTACCCAAATTCCCCCCATCCCTCCCCCCCAAAAAATGATTCTTACAGGCCTTTACCATGTGTATTGTCATCAAGATCCCCCGCAAGATTCCAGTTGCCACGACGTGGAGGGGGGGGGCGGGCAATGACCAGAGCCCTTCACCATGCTTTGCTGGCCGATATCGCTCACCAGTGTTCCGCCGTGTATCGTTCTGTGTTAACCCCGCGACCAAATGTGATCGATTCCCGCTGCGTGAAAAAATGCTCTCCTTGTGCGATGGCGCGGTTGAGCCGGAATCGTACCCGTAGATCCGTTCGCACAAGCCCGATTATATACTCGCAAATCGACAGTTGCAGTGCCCAGTGCCCCAGCTTTGTCCACCTTCCCGTATGGCGGGAAAACGCGTCCTAGATCCCTCGTATCGTACATCCACTGAAAAATGCCGTCGATCCGTGTGGCGTCCGCTTTTGTTGATAGTAAAAAATAAAAGAGAATCAAGGGGGTGCCCGAAACCGTCACAGCTGACCCTCTCCTCTCACTTCCTCCATCCCACGTTCCAAATGACATGTGCAATATCCCGGGCTGTATTAACTGTATCAATGACCCGGCCGATGATGCCTTCGTTGGAAGATGATTCCCCCTCTTCATATGGCATGAACATACCTGACGAGGTCCGACGCATGCCAGCTGGTTCGGCGTTCAGACTGTTGGTGGACGATGATCGTTGCAGGCCTGTTGATTTGTTGTCGTCGCTTCTCGTTGGCGACTGCCATCCCATCGACGCCGCCTCCTCTTCCTCGTCCTCGTCATCGAAAAAGAATTTCCCGGATCCCTTCGAGGGCCGGAGGGTCTCCTGAGAAGACGACGGGGATATGACGGGACTCCGGTAAGAGGTGCTGTGCTTCATCGCCGTCTCTTGAGGCTCGGGTGTGTCTTCGCGGTACTTGAGGGTGGTGGACGGTAGCATGGCAATGGTCTTGCCCTCCGTAGCCGCTGCGATCATCACCGACTTCTTCCTGGGGAGAGGCATCTTCTTCTTGGTCCGTGACCTCTTCATCATAACGCCGCCCTCGTCAGAATCGCTGTTGTCGTATCGTTCAGTGCCGGCCTCTTCGTCTTCATCATCGTCGCCCTTGATATCGACTGCGATGCATTGCGAAACCTGCTCGTTGAAGTGGATGTGTTTCTTCTCGCTGCTGGGCGAGATGATGCCGGAGGATGTGCTCGAGGGGCACAGGTTGGAGCTCTCGCGGCTCAGTCTCCTCGATGAGAAGGGGAACGTAACGTAATCAGTGGTGGCACGTTCCAGCGTTGGCCGTGCCAGACGTCTCCGGCCGTCCTTTTCTTGGGCCTGGACCGCCGCGGCCGCCTGCTTCAGCAGGGAAGAGGCGGACAGAGACCTCTGCAGCATGACCTCCGACATGCTCCTCTTCTTTAGGATGGGCTTCTTGTTGACGAACGAGTTGTTCTTGGTGAGCCTGGCGCTGTTTGGATCCGTCGTGATGGGGTTCAAGGTGTTGGGACCAGTCTGCAAGGGTCCGTAGAGCCAAGTTACGTCACAATCCTTCAGCCTGCCAATGGTCAGTCGTGGGACGTTCGGATGCAGTCATGCCACCTACCAGTTCAGCGTCTCTGGCGAGACGGTCTTCAGCTTGTTCTTCGACTTCATCCAGGTCCTCCATGATGCGTTCTCCAAGCGCGCTGCGTTGCTGTATTCGGATCTGCGGGACACGATGAACTTCCACGACGACCAAATGTCTTCTTCCTTCCAGTTGTGAGAAAGATAGTCGACGTGGCGCGAGGGTTGCACGCGGACCGCCGTGTCGTCCTCGGCGTGTTCCACATCGAGGATGAACTCGGGTGTGTTGGGCCTGGAAGTGTCACCCTCGGTGTCGTTGTCGACGGGCGAAACCGTATACGAGTCGCCAGTCTTGGGGCTTGTTGGCGGTTCCAGGTCTTCCGGGTGGTTGAAGTAATCGGACTCCTCGTAGTGGGGGAATACAAAGTGGTCATTGGCGTGCACGGCGAGGTCTATCGTGTCGTCGCAGTCGGAAGCGATCGAGACATTGCTCGCGGGGGTCGACGAGCAAGACAGATCGGTGGATTCAGCATGGGCGATCCTGGGAGATGACGGAGCGGACGAAGGCGCAGAATCGGGATACGCCTTCGAGTCCATGAAGTTGTCGCTCATGTGGCTGGCCGAGGTTGTTGATGGGTGAAATCCGGACTGTTTTGTGACAAACTTGGGTTGAGAATGTGAGCGTCGCAAGTTGGAGGAGAAGTAGGTGTTCTCCTCGGACGATAAGACGACGGCCATTGCGAAAGTGTATAGGCGAATTGGGGAACGTTAGTCCCTAATCGCCGCGACTCCGGTATGGAAGCAGACAAGATCGGTCATAAAGCCTTTGGTTATCTGGGTGTGAAATCCTTGTGTTGGTGTTGTAGTGGTGGTAGTAGTTGTAGTAGGCGAGTAAGTGAGAAGCGATAGCAGCAGGGCCGTAGATCGTGGACCAAGGAATCGGGATCGGAGCGACAACTGCGCAAAGGAGGGAGGGGGGGCTGTCTGTTTTGGAAGGATGACGGTCGGTCCCCTTTTCTTATTCGTTCTACACCAAGCCGTTGGCTGTGCCGTGCAGGTTTTCAGTGGCTCGGGACCTAGCGCAGTGGCGCCCCCAAGAAACAAAGGCGGTGACTGGAGCGATTCGCGGGGATTCGCCAGTGGGAAAAAGGCGGAGAAGTGGTTTGGATCGGGTGCGGTATGATAAAAGTATAGGACGGGCGAGTGACTGAAGGACAGAAGAAACTGACTGGCTGGCGGGCGCTGGCTTGAACTGACGGGAAAATGCGTGCAAATGTCAGTGACGATGGTCGAGGATGGGCGATGGCAGGAACAGATATCGCAGCACGGGGAAACGCAGACGGATGTCAAGAACTGGCCGAGTCGGCAGCAGCGGGAAGAGGAACAGGTTAAGAGCAGGTTGTATGTATATATTGGCTCGGTTCGGGAGGGGGGAGGAGTGGGGAGGAGAGGAAGAACGAGAAGGGCGTCCGAGAGGAGGGGATGGACGGGAGGAAAGGGTAGGTAGATGTATGGCCTCGGTGTAGAGGAGAATTTGTCGACGGGCGAACACACGGACAGGGTAGCAGAGGAGAAAAAAGGTAAAAAAGCAAAATACCGGGAAGGGAAGGGTAGCAAATGGAGCCAGAGAAACTGGAACGATAACCGGCGCGTTCGAGCCCAGAGGTTGATTGCAGGTAGCCTCGTTCTTTTGCCCGTATGGTGGAGTCTTTTTGGTGGATTAGGAGGAGTGGCAGGAGAAGAGGAGGAGTGGGAGGGACAGAGAGACACACGCACGCACATACAGCCAGGGCCAGAGACGACAGCGCAAGACGGACAGGGGTAAGGGGGTACAGACGAGGTACTACCAGAAACCGAGGGGGGGGGAGTGAGGTCCAAGTCCAGAGCGGGAGGGGGCAGAATGCAGGCAAAGGTAGAGAGAGAGAGATGGAGAGTGAGGCGTGTGAGAGGGGCGTGGGAGATGACGCTCCGGGGTGTGTGAGAGACACAGAGTTTTTTCCCTTTCCCTTTTGCCTTTGCGTCTTATTATTCGGGAAAGGGCTCGATGGTGCAAGCAAGGGTGATGGTGGGCAAGGAGTTGAAGGGGGTGGCAGGGGCGGGGGGGTCAAGTTTGTGTGGAGAAGACAGCCAAGACCGGCTCGGATGGGTTGGAAGGGGTGGTGGAAAGCGATAAAGTGATAACGAGGTGATTCTGCGCTGTTGTTGGCTTGGGAATGGGCCCAGAGTTCCGAGCCAGACTGATGACTGCGGAAGACTGGGACATGGAGAGCAACATGGAGAGCAAGACAGACTGGAGATTGATGTCCTGGGGAATGAATGGACCGATGTGGAACGGATCGTGAGAAGCTGGGACGTGGACGTGAACATGAACCTTGGCTGCTGGCTGGGGAGAGGAGAGAGAGAGAGGAACTGGACCGGACTGGACCGGACTGGACTGGACTGGACTGGGCTCTACTACCAGCGAGGAAAAGGCAGCAAGTGAAAATGTGCTATGCTGTTGCGTATGCGCAAAAAGTACTTTGCCATGGTCCGGCACGCCACCAGGTACTTGCACCACCAAGTACACTCACTACACACCGCGTAGTGCTGCAAGGCAGCTCCTTACGTGCGGACGGCGTGGGGTGGTACGTACCTCGCCGAGCAGTGCTTGTATGGTATGTGTACTTGGGGGGAGGGGTGGGGGGTAGTTGCACCTACTGTACTGTGCAGCCGGTATCCAGCATCGAGCAGGAGTTGCAGCACACCGGTGTCGGCAGCTCGCTCTGCTCTGCGCGGGATGGACGAGTTGGGTGGTCGCAGCATCCGTTTGTTCAGAGGGGATGACGAAGGCAGGGATGGAAAGCATAGAGTGAATCCAAAGCTGGAGTAAGGTATCATGCAGACTAAACTCAACCGAAGGGAAGTGAGGACCGAAAGAGCAAGAGAGAGAGTGTGTGTGAGAGTAAGTGTGAGAGTGAGTGTGAGAGTGAGAGAGAGAGAGAGAGAGAGTGAGAGAGAGAGAGAGTGAGAGAGGAAGAGAGAGAGAAAGAGAGAGGGAGAAGGAAAGGTGTGTGGAGTGTACCAAGCGGTGGTGGGAGAGTCGTCCAACTAGCTCAACGCAAACGCAACGCAACGCAACGCAGCGCAGCACTACGCTATGCTATGTATGCTATGTTGCGCTGCGCAAGCGTTTATCAAACCTGCAAGCCCATGCACGCACCCAACATGCAAGTGTGGCAGCTTGCAGCCAGACCGACAACCGGGGTGCAAGCGCGAGTGTATCAAATGAGGGGGAGCGCTGAGAGACGGAGAGAGGAGAGTGGAAGGAGACAGACAGAACAAAGCACACCGGTACCCACCTCGATGCTATTTGTCCGATTCTTCTTGTCCACCGACGCGGCAATGATGAGAGGAACCACTCACGGCACGGGAGATTCGGGGAAGGAGCGCATTATATATCCATCCAACTGCATGCCGTCTTTTCTGCTGCGACTTGCCTATCCGCAGCCAGGCATGCAACAGCGAACACGGACAAAACACAAAACGGCCTGGCTGGCTGGCGCGGTTGAACGCCGCGCGCGCCGTGAGTGGTGGTCGACTGATTGGCCAAGCAAGCTCGGTAGACTCGCTGAGTGGAGGAGGGGGGAAGAGCGAGTTCGCAAACGAGTCGTCTAGCAGAAACCAAGAGACCAGAAGGCGGCATGATGCGTCCCTCTCCGGACTCCTCGAGGGGAACGTCTCAGTCAGTGACGAGAGCATCTCCCAGTCACTCCCGCGGGACCCAAGGGAGAACAGAGCAACTCGCGCCGTCACCGACGAGGATGGACCAGAGACACCATATGGTCCGGCCCAAGGAACGGTTCGAGGCAACTGAACTTGACAGAGGCGAGAGCCAAGTCGCCTCGGAGAGGCGGCGAAGACACTCGGGCCGGCGATCCCCAAAAACGACGCTTCTTGTATTCGTACCTCAATTAAGAGCCGGACGTACGGAACTGACTGCGTGGCTCCAAGAGCTGGATAATGAATGCATTCCAGTGCTTTTGGAGACTGACACACCGAGACGGCGTTGGGAATGGGTGCTGATTGTCCGGGACTATGGTAAAAGAAGCGGAAATGGAACAGTGGACCATGTACGTGCGAAAAACATGTTGGACACTGCATCTGCCCAAACCGAAGAGCACGCGAAATGTCTCTCGGGCGAGGCGCTCCGGGGAAGTGGAGGTTGCAATCCCCATAATGACTTGACGCAGTGGATGACGAGGGATCAGTGCTTAATGTCAGAACTCGGCCGAGATCCAACAAAGCTCTATACTGCCAGTACACACGTTGTTGTTGAAAATTGGGTGGCGAGATGATGTAGTATGCTCCCCCGTCAGTGCCATCGCGTACCTGGAAATGAGTTTAGGAATGCCGGCTCAAGGTCGAAACCCCCGGCGATCTTCGAGTCACTTGATCACTGATCATTAGCCGTATACAGGCCACGAGTGCCGTCAAGATGATCCGCATTCCTGACCTGAAGAAGCCACGGGCTACTGCGTCGAGACTGCTACCGTAGTAGTATACACGCCCGGCATTGTCGGCTGGAGTCCACATGTACCCTGGCCTCCGCCAGATGGTACCTGGTGCAAGTACAAAAGTCTGAGGGTTCAGGCGGGGGCTAACTACTACAGGTACGTACTAGCCCCAATCCGAATTCGGCCCAGGGCATGCCAGCAAGCGAGGACGAAAAAGGGCCCCATGGCCCTTTTTATTTTTATTTATTTTTTAAAGGTACGTTCGAAATTGGCAAGCCGATGATGGACAGGGTGGTGCCAAATGACAGGGGGTTGTCGGCAAGATCCTAGTAAGAAAGGCTAGATGGAATTGGGAGGGGGGTTTCGAAAACTTTTTTCTTCTCTTTTTTCTTCGTGCCGGTCAACTTCCACGTTGCCATGTCCACTAGACACCATCATCCCTGCCTTTATAGTCGAGGCCGCTGAGCTGGCGGGATGACTCTTAGAGAGAGGCCCTTTCGTGTCTGTGTGTCCGCGAGTGCTTCATTTTGGCCCGTGCCGGTCTCCCCTTTCCGGGATTTCAGGTCGTCGAGATGGCCGCTCGGGCAGACAGACCATCTGGCCCAAGATGGGGGGTCCAAGACAGGCGCGAAATGGGTGCGACGGCGGGTGGCGTGAGCGACAAATGAAGGAGGCCCGAATGCTGACATCAAGTTGGCAAATGTGGCTCGAAGGAAACCAAGGGTCTTTCTTCGGTGCGCTGGTATCAAGGCTGAGCTGGCGTGTGCCTGAGGTGCTTCCGCATCCTTCGCTTTGAAGCCTGGCGCAGGGTTTTGCCTCTGTTTCTCCCTGCTCGGGTATGCATCGGATGGTCCAGACAAAATCGATGATGATGCTGGGAGTCGGGCAACATCAGTCGATATCGGCTATGGACCATTGGCCGAGCCGCCGGTGTTGATGTAATTAGCAGCCGGCGCGCAGTGGTTTGAGACCGCATTGAATGTCAGTCAGTAAGCGCGTGTCTTGCATGTTCGCCGCCTTCCCCATGTCCTTCCTCCCTCTCTCCCCGGTGTGTTCGTACGAGTATGTTGTGCGCACTACCGTACGGCAAGGCAAGGAGGCGACGATCCATGGGCTCCAGCTCCTACTTCTGCGCCTGCGCCTGCGCCTGCGCCTGCGCCTGTCGGCAAGGCAGAGAGAGGCTGGCAGGTAAGGCGAGGTGGGCAAGTGCAGACGGGCAACATGGAAGGAAGGGGCGTGTGTTGGAAACAGTCGGTTCCAGCTGTCCCACAATATCGCCGCGTCGATGTGGGTGGAGGGGGTGCTTTGGTCAGGGGTGCCCCACACGATGAGCAGCGCATGACCGGAACCTTTCCCCGGTCGGCGGCCTTGTCACTCGACGCTGCAGATTGGCGTACCATGGACTTGGGCACTGCGGGGCAATCAGTACCTCGCTAACAATTTTCTCCCACGGCCTCTTGTTTCCAGGAGACTACTACGGGCAACGGCGAATGGAGCAACAGCAAACAGCAGACGGCCGTGATGTCGCATTCCCCTCTGCTCTACACAAACACTGCGTGCCGACTGTGCTATGTAGGCAGTCCAACCCAGTCAGGTATCCGCAGCTTCAATGCGTCTGCAATCTTGGCTTTTTTGTAGGTAGTGTTTACAAGTACGGGATACCGGGATACGCTCCCCACGACGACTCCATCCGTGGCCTCGACCTCGTGGCTACTGAACGGGAGTTTGACAGGTTCCGCCTCGGTTCCTCTCGTCAAGTTACGCAGTACGGAGTACCGGTAGTCTACCTCCGCCTCCGCCGAGCTTCATTGAGCCTAAGGAATACCAGGGGGGGAGGACCAAGCCAAGCGGTGGCGTCATCTTTGGCGGTGATACCTGCGACATGCTCCTGTTGCTGCCGGCATCACATATCGGCCTCCCATTATCAATTTTTTTCTAATTTTTTTTTTTTTTTTTTTTTTGCTTCGAGGGAGGCCATCTTACTGCTGTATCTCGATGCCCTGGCCCTGGTACGTGTGTCGATGGTCCATCCCGCACTCCACCCCTTTTCCACCCCAACGGTTCTAGCTTCAGGTTCTGCAGCGAGGGAAACGCAAAGACGTCGTGCGTTTTGGTATGCGTTTTAACCTTGATGGCGGTGCCGTCAACAGAAGCATGGCCTTCCTAGCTGGTTGTATACACTTTTCGCCCACCTCGTCAACTTTCCCGTCGCCTATTCTGGATCGGTCAAGTCGAGGCCCCCGATAGGGATTCGTTAGCCGTCACTATCGGACGACTGTTGTGCTCCATGGCAAAAGAGGCACGAGCCTCAAGCCCCACCTTCCGGATGTCAGAATCGATCGGCGTTCTGTTGAGGACAACGTACGTCGAGTCCCCGCGATGGCTGCCCAAGAGTCCAAGACGCCAATCACGCAAGGTACACACACAGCTGGTTCGGAGCATCTGAGAAACACGACAAAGTCAAGCATCACGTTGGGCTTTGGCAAACGTTAAGCACATTCATCAATCATCGGAAAACTTGGATGCTGCTGCATCGATGTAACCTAGCTCGACCTCCAGGTGCCCCCGCTCAGCCAGGCAAACCCCTTCCCCCTCTCTCTTTAAGCTACCCGAATCGGGCCCGGCTTGTATTGTATCTAACGAGTGGTGTTCTCGTCGATGGTCTCATCCGGGGGACCGTTATCACAGCAGCCGATGCTCTTGTCGGCTCAACTCAACTCTTTCCCCACCTGTCGTCGAGCCTCTTTGAGGAGTCGCAGTTACACAAGCGCACGCACACCAATAGGCAAGACCACATGTAGGAAGGGAACTGCAACTAATCGCTAGCTGCGCAACATCGAACGCACCACTGCAACGCACTTATCTTGGTATCCTGGTCACCGTGAAAAAGAAGGAAGGAAAGAAAAAAAAAAAAGCGCTTGCTGCTGGGCATTCCACCAGGTGCGGACTGAGATACTTGGCGCGCATATAGTGTGCTTACTTTTCGCCCCTCCGTGGCGCAGTGGCTGTCAGCACAGACAGGCCAGGCCAGAGTCTTTGCCAGCAAGATCAACCCCTGAACAGACCGAGACTGCAGGTAATTAACGCCAAAGGTCGACAATATATGGTTCGAGATACGCATCTTCGATCCCCAGAAAGCCAACTCCCGTTGCTCGCGGCCTGTCGATCGATATCGATTCCGAGATGTCGTGTTAGATGAGTCCTGGTTTTGCGTGATGACGGCGTTAGTATGCAGATAGGATCCCGCAAACGACCATTCACAGGCCAAGTCGGTTTCCCCAGTTTTTGCTTGCCCTCGACGTGTGCACCCATGTACTACCGGTATGTAGGCGGCAAGTATGTCTCGGCCTATGCCCATCGTCAGCTGGTAAATTCGGGTACACATGGACGAACACTCTGGGGTATACGCAAAGCTAACTTGGTCGGTGCCCATTAACACTCCCCCCCCCCCCCCCCCCCGACTTCAGGAGAGGCATGCCATGCAAGCAGGGCGCTGGTTGGTAGCAAGCTACGGGCTCGGCGCGGGGAAGGGAAACGAGGTGAGCATAGCTGTTGCAGGCAATGCCACAGACAAGATCAGAGGGCCAATGGGGGAATGTGGCAGACTTGGTCCTTTTTGGCCTTGTACCATTCCGAATTGAAGGAGAGCTTGGGCCATGTTAGGTTAGGTTTATAGAGGTGTCTCATGAAACCCCGTAGGCTATTCTTATCGTGTCATCTCGCGTATCACTGTCGCAGCCCTGGAGGCTTCGTCGACGAATGCATTTTGACGTATCTGGAGTCTGGATACGGCAACGGGCGAATGGGAAGGAAACCGTTCCAATACAGTTGGCAGCACTGGTCCCTGGTTTCCTCTAACGGGACGAGACGGAGGGGGGGCCTGGGGCTCCACGGGGAAAGATAGGAAATTGAATTGAATTGACCTTCTTGGCTCTCTGGAGAAACGAGATCCCCCGTGGGCAGCAAGGCCTCCAACTAAACCTACGCCGTGTAACAACAGCAGCTCCAAGCGTCCGTCCGACATCCGGGCAGAATTTGCATGATCAGGTCATCCCGCATACCGCCTACCCGACGCGGATGCGCTGTCGTCGATACCTAGTGAAACGCGGAGAGAGCCTAGTGGCTGGCTGGTTACTGAAGGTCCAGGAGGTCCACGTCTTGGCTGTTGGTATTGTGCGACGCGGCGGTGCGACGCGGCGGTGCGACTCGGCCCCCACCCTTCCTCCCCTCACCGAAAAGGAAGGGAGGGCTAGGAGGAAGCGTCCGGGGCTCGGCGGCGGCGGCGAGTCGCCGCACTTCCTTGTTGTACTACCCTCTCCGTCCGACTTCACCACCGAGGGGGTGATCCTGCTTCTCCTCTAGCAACAACGACTCCTACGTCCAGGAATCGTGCGACTTTCGGGAAGCGGCACCTGCGTTGACCTCGAGTGCTACGATTTGTGATTGGTGTAATGTCCGTGACACCTAGGGCCGAGGAAGCAGGTCCCAGTCCCCCAGCAGCAGCAGCAGCAGCAGCAGCAGCAGCATGGTGGATCCTCGCACGGCAGGAAAGGGAAGGGAAGGGAAGGGAAGGGAAGGGAAGTAAATGCCACAAAATTCGCCTCCGCCCCCCCCCCCCATATGGCACCCCCGCCACTCTCTCCTTCTCACAGTGTCTCGCTCGACAGGATTGGGGGTGCTTTTATTCCGGAGATGGAAAACCACCCACCATACTGCCGTCCAACGAACTGAAGGAGGGGGGGGGGGGGGCGAAGGAAAGCGTTTGAACCGCTCTTTCCCCAACGAACCAACGCCCGCCGGGGTTGTCCTGCGGGTTGCTGCCTGTGCTTTGCTTTGCTGTGCTGTGTGTTATGCTACTACCTACTCTGTCGTTGTTCTGTACCACGTTGTCCTGTGCTGAGGGGGGGGGGGGGGGGGAGGGAGGAGGCAGGAAAGGACGACGGTCACGGGATAAGCAGGGACGCTGCTTGCATGGCATGGCTGCTGTGACGGTAGAGCAGGTCTAGACCGCGCCCTCCCCGTCCGAGCAAGTACCGGTATACGGAGCGCTAGGTACTGTAGGCTGGTTGGCACCTACCAAGATAAGTACTCAGGTATGGTATGGAAGGTACCTGCCGAGGCAAAAGGGAAGGAAGGTACCTGCCGCGCCAGGTCTGGAGTGCGGAACGCATTGAAAACTGCCATCTGCACTCAAAGCCAATGCACCATCCGGCAGCCAAACGTTTGTACTGTACACTTTGCCGTCGTCTTCAACTTCGCCCCTCCCGTCCTTCTTCCACAGATCCGATATACACTACGTCCACGCCCGACCCGGTTTCGTCCGACCCTCGTCCTCTCCAGTTTTCCATCTTCTCCGGTTTCTTCCTCCGCCATCTGAAGCATTCCCATATCCCAGACTCGGGGCATAGCCCGTCCAGTCGCACATGAACCTTTGCCGCAAGGCGGTTGCTTGTCCCGCATCAAACTCACAGAGGAAGCAACCGCAACCGTACGAATGCTACCTACACGGCTTCACGGCAGTCGAGAATTGAGAATCCCCTCCCTCGTCAATGGTCTTGTCTGGTCGCCCATCCTGCCGAGGCCTGCTCCGCCAAGCAATACCATGTCTTCTCCGCCTTCGCGGGCCACTTCTAGCCGTCCAATCGATGCCGCATGTTTCAACCCGTGCCTCGCCCATGACCTTCCCGGCTTCTGAAATGATCAGGCACCATAGGGGCACGGTTCACGGCGTCCCGTCTAGCACGGCAGTCCGCCTACTTGTAACGCAACGCCCATCTCTCCCCTTCCCTGCTAATCACTCAATGCTCAAGGGTACACGAGATGCGAAGGCAGAACCGACGTCGGCCTTGTCGTGCACCGTGCCGGTCGCAAACCTCTTGCGGACAGCTCGCTATCAAGGGCCGTGCGACCTCGCAAAGTCAACTCGACTGCTTTGCATTACGTGACCCGTACGTTGACTAGTCAGCCAGCCCGGCGGTCATCCCGCATATCTGGCGCATGCTTGACCAGTCCAGTCCCTCCGACATCCAAAACGGCACCATAATCTCGCCCTGTCACCAAATCAGCCCCGCCTGGGGGCCGTGGCAGCCAGCGCCACGCCTTCCAAGCCATGCACTCCTTCCCTTGCAGCTGGGCCCAGCCCAGGGAACACTGTCAGCGTCCGGCTTGTTGTTGTTGTATCCAAGGTGGCGGTGGTGGCGGCGGGAAGCCAGGAGGACACCCTGAAGACTGTCTTGGTACCGGCGAGGAGCATCCGCCACTCTGGGCTTATCTATCGGCTGGCATGCATGCATAACACCAGCTTTGTCGAGAGTCAGTCGCCCGTTTTGATCCACGACATCAAATGTATGGCGACTGGGTGGCAGGATTCGGCGACAAGATAAGGACGAAAACAACGGCCGCAACGAGATGCTGGGGCCGGCAACCAACCAACTGTTGCCTTTTTTAGACGTTGCCTTTTTCTTTTTTAGACGCTGACTCTGTTTCCTGGGGTCTGCTAGCCATCTTGGACAATCCAACGACTGACGCCATACGACTGTCAGCCATATTTCGCACGACACACGTCTCAGCGCTGCCCGCCTGCTTGACCTTTAAACCCTGCCGCTGATCTCCTGGCCCAAGGGCACGGGCTTTGAGCACATATCTCACGTTAGTCAGTCGCCAGCCAAATGGGTCCAGAGGGGAAAGGCTGGGTACGCACAATTCCCCACCTTGGCATCGTCCGGAGCGCCGTCAACTACGCCGTCGCTCCAAGTTTCCCGCCACCGGTCCGGGCGCGGCCGTCGTACGGTGGGCATTGGGCAAAGAATGGAACCCGGTTTCCCAATGCTGCGCCGCCCTGGCATCTAGGTTCGCCTCATCAAAACCTTCTCCTAGCGTGTGGCATGCCGGAATCAGGACCCTGATCCAACCCGGTCAAGCTACCACTGCCGCGATGCCTCAGCGTGGTTCAGTGGATTTGAGTCACTGAAGAGTCCAAACTTCGTCCGAGCACAAGGCAACTGTTGCATGGACTCTGTCAGGGTAATGAATTAGTTCGTGGTGACGGTGCGCCCCCGCACAGCCAACTGATATGCTTTTGCGGCTCCCGTCCCACGAAGAACCTCACTGGGCAGGTGTCTTTGGAAGAGCGCCTTGGCATACCTGGATCAGGCAATGACTGCAACGCTGAGCCTGTCGCGATATTGATTCCGGTGCCTCAGTCGTATATAACGCTCGGTATGCTGGGCAGTAGGTAGACTTACTGATGTGCCCGAAATTAAGTTACGCCAAGCAGCACGCGCGCACACGAATCAGTATGATCAAGAAGATGGCGTTGGTTTCTTGTCCTGCCGCGATTGTCCAACCGGGTCCTGTGAAGAGGACACTGCTGCAGACGAAGCGCCCGCTGTCGCGCCACGTCTCCATCACCCTACTTTGCCTATGGGCTTATCAAGACGTCACACTGAATGCGCTCGTGTGGAATCAGGGAAACTCTGGAGGGTGCGAGCACGGTAGCCAGGTTTGCGAGAAACCCAGGCTGCTCGCGACTTGGTCGACATGCACTGCATTTCGTCAGCCACGGTGGCTCTCATAAGGTCGCCAAGGCCCACATCCTGGAGATCGCAGGTCTTCCATATTGTGACTCGTCACATTATCAAGTTGACAACCTGCCAGATGCTACCCACAACGCATAGGACCCTGGTCACCACCACAGGGGGTGTCGGACGCGCGACGATCCCCATTTCTTCGAAGGAGAGCCTGTCGCGTTCAAAGTTGACGAATCTGCAACTGGGGGGGGCTGTCAGTGTGTGGAATGCCCCCCACTCTCACGCTGCCTCCTTCGTCTGCCCAACGACAGTGAAGCGTCCAATGAAGGCCCATAGGCACCGACGATGGCGGTTTGGTTGCCGCTGAACACGAGCAGGAACGCCACTGTTTTTGCGCCCCATCAGCTCATTTACACAGTCGACGGCGCAATATCATGTCTCGATATGTGGGCCTCGGTGAAGGGTCCGCTTCCACTCTTGGTCTCTCCATCTCTTTCGTACAGCGTTTATCGTGCACCTGGAAACCGCACGACAGCGTGATGTGAAATCTGCAAACAACCATATCAGGCAGCTCGATAAGGAAGCTCGGCGATCCTCGGCTTTTTACGCGGCCAAGTGGATATATCGAGTCACCCTCAAGCCCTTATGGTTTCGTTCGTTTTCAGCAACACGACTGGGAGAATACTAAGCTAGGCGCCGCAGCCTTGCGGTAACTCCGTCCGCATACATGTGTTGCAAAATGGAGTCCCGAGACAAGCGAGGGATAATCTGCCCACCGCGTTATCACGACGATCTTGAATCTTCCGAAGCAAGCCACCCTCCGACATAACGGGGCAATCAGGTAACCGCCCTGTCCAACTTCCACCCCCAAATCTACGAGACACGACGTCCTTGCCCATGCGCTCCGACGGAGCATGTTTGCTTCGGCGTCGTGACCCGCGACACACCTGGTCTTTCTTTGGCACACGCCGCCTCCGCAGACAGTGCGCTCGCCTTGGAGAACCTCGACGCTCCGATTGTTGGAAATACATACAGCACCCGTCCCTACACCTCGACACAACACTGCAGATCTGGACCGCCGGGTCCCTTCGGGTCGCCTTGAGTATGGGGCCGATCTGCATTCCCGCCCTTCCCCGGCCGTGGTCTGCAAATTGAGCCCCCCCCCCCCCCCCCCCCCCCCTTTCCCTGTCCCAATTCGGCAATCCGATATCACAGACCACAGAGTATTCGGTGGGTACCTCTTGAACCAAGCTGCCGCCTTACCTCTCCTGACGACGGCCGAGCGCTGTGCCGCACATCCGAAGAATGAGTGCGGTGTCACTGCTCAGCAATGGGCCATGAGACGAAACGGGAGGAACCGGACCTCCTCTATCATCAAGGTTCTCTATAGTGAATGCCCTCGACAAAGGCAGATGGCTGCGTCGACTTCATTTACACGTCACGATATCGAAATCCAACTGCCCTTTGCAGTCCGGGTCCGGGGCTAGCCTGTCTTTTCCCTACCACTCCATGTTGCCTGCTGCCGACCGTGCCGGCCGAGAGGCACTACAAGGGCTGTCTAGCATATCAATGGGACAGCGGGCCACAGTCCAAACAAAACCATGCCGCTTAGTCGGGGCTCATCACTGTTGGCCAACATCGTATGATGGTAGAGACATCGGGGATGACCCCCACAGGCAGTACAAAGGTGTGCTGCGAAGAGCGGCGGGCTTGGATGCCGCTGGCCCGAAGGAGGGCTCGGAAACCAAAGCTCGATTCAGACGGAGCAATACACGCTTTCGCACGGGATAAATGCCGAGTGGCAGCCGGAGGTGCACCTTGGCGCTGGCGGCCCTACGGAGGCCAGCACAGCCGACTTTTTCTGTCGTTTGTGCAGTGCGGGCTCGGTCAGTGTCAATTATCAAATAATACTGCTGAACCACGTATGTACGTAGATCTGAGCTCGGCCGGAATGCTAAAAACGCTTTCCCCGCCTCCCAGCTTTGATCGACTGCGAGCTGGAACCGGGCAGCTCAAACCTGGAACTTCACCCCTCAGGCTGTGCGCCGTATTCGCACGCCGATCCGCTTCCCCGTCATGCCCATCTCAATTCGTCCCCTCCTCGACAGTCAATCGCACGCCCCAAGCTTAGCCCGAGCGAGCTCGATCGATGAAGCGTCTCCCCCTCTTCCCCGAAGTTGGGGGTACGCGTTTGGAATATATAGTTTATTGGGGTCCGCAAGTTGAGAGGCCAGCGGTAGCAGGGCCTTCCCTGTGTTGGGTTTGCGGGGGGGAGGGCGCGGTTTGACGAGCATGTAGTTTAAACCGCTCTGCCACGTTCCAACGAGGAGGTGTGTGTAACGCGATGAACAAAACAAACTCCCGTGCGAGCTGCCCAGCGCTGGGGAAAGTATCGCCCACCGAGATTTGATGAGACTCGTCTCTTCTCAGGCTGCAGAGGTACGGGGTGAGTTACGAAACCTTGTGCATGTTGAGCCTCTCCGCGGGGGTGATAGTTTACAGGGACGCGGGGGAGGATGTATTTGTCTCACCAAACAGGCCGTTCGCGATGCTCCTGAAGGGGCAGCGCATACGTACATAAACAAGGCCTACCCGGCGGGTGCCTGGACTAGAGCTCAGCCCGGGAGACCGCGGCTACGGCTCTCTTGTCCGGGGACCTGAAGGATGATCGATACAGAGGCCGGTTGCCGGACCACGGGGCTCATTAGCACGTCTGCTACGATCAGAACCTGGGGCTGCAGGTGCCTGTCGCATCACGGGGCCTGCCAAGATGCTGCTGTCCCTCCCACCGGCAGTAGCTGCCAAACATCCGCACCGACAAAGACGGGACTGTCATTGGAGAGGGTAGCTTCGAAACGAGGGTTCCCAGATCAAAGCCTTGGATGATGCCCAGACATCCGGCGATTGCAAAACAGAGTTTCCTGCTAAGTCACTCATTCCGGGGAAGGCGGGGAAGGAGCCTTTTCGACGTCTGTTTTCGTCTACTACTGTGTGTTATCTCTCCTGTCTCTACCGGGGTAAGCCAGGCATGAATGGGCGGCCGGAAGGCCGGGAGGCCGTGAGCTCTATGGGGGGGACCCTTCGACAGCACCAGATATAGAGAGGGTGTGTACAAACCGCGTTACGGTCTAGACCACGTCTCAGGCGAAGACCTGCCATCGGCTGATGCGATGCCTTTATTTTTATTAAAATTCGCAACGCCGACGACCGCGGCAAGGGCCATTGCGGCTGCAACGGACGACGAGTAGCGCTTACACCGGGGAAGCGGGCGAGGGGTGCCGGGGGGGAAGGGGTGGGAAGCCACCACCAGGCGCGGGCTTGAAAACGGGACATGGTCTGATTCTCCCTCTGTATCACTCTGTATCTCTCTGTCTCTCCCTCCCCGACCTCCCCTAGGCTTTCCCTCGCTCTCGTTTCCATCGTCCCGTCGTCAACAATCAGGCGTGTGTCGCCGACGCTCGGGCGGGGGCGCGCGGGCATGTATTCGTAGATGGGCGGGCAGATACTAACAACAACAACAACAACAGCAGCACCACTGCCGTAAATCAGAGGGGTCCCCGAAATGTGGACGGCGCAAGGAGAGGAGGAAGCAGATGCGGATGCATAGGCGGGAGACGGAGACAAAGCTGGAGGGAGGGGTGGGCGGGCATTATCGGGCGAAAAAGCTCCCCCTTCCAAAAGATACATGCATACACATATACATATCAAACACATTTATCTGTAACTATATACACAAAAAAAGATGGGGAAAAAAAGAAAGAAAAAAGAAAAAAGGTCAATACAACAGACACCCCGGTGCGATGCTGGGCCGATGTCAGCTGCGTCAGCGACAGGAATATCTCTCTAGGGCGCGAGCGAGGGAAACAGAAAAGAGCAAAAACCTCCGTCGAGTTCCCCAATGTGTGTGAGTGTGTGCGTACGTGCGTCCAAGCGGAAGGTTCGGTCGCGCCCCCCTCCTTCCCCGGCTCTCCTTTTTTTTGGTGCCGGATATACGTTTGCCAGGTGGATTGGGATGGGATGGATGAGGCCTGAGAGAGAGAGAGAGAGAGAGTGTGTGTGTGTGTGTGTGTGTATGTGAGTTGAGTCTGAATGTGCGTTTGTAAGTGTGTAAGTGTGTAAGTGTGTGTGTGTGTGTGTGCGTATGAATAAGTGAGTGAGTGAGTCCGAAGTGAGTTGAGTACAGCGACAGCGACAGCGACAGCGACAACGACAACGACAACGACAACGACAACGACAACGATGCAAGCTGCGTGGCTGCGAGCACAGCATACGCCCGCACGCACACACACACACTCTCTCTCTCTCTCTCTCTCTCTCTCTCTCTCTCTCTCTCTCTCTCTCTCTCTCTCTCTCTCTCTCTCTCTCTCTCTCTCTCTCTCTCTCTCTCTCCTCTCTGTGTTACCGCAGCCTCGCTTGCGTTCCGTAGCGCGTGAGACGAAGGGGGGGCGTTCTGGTGACTAAAAATGACGGCCGCTTTTCCTTACCACTACCGTATGGCAACCGGCCAATTTTTTTTATCACCCAGGTAAGTGGGGAGGAGATTGTGGTGATGGTAGTTGGGAGCACGGGGAGGGGCTGTTACCCCCCCCCCTGAAGCCATTTCCCGTTGCGTACATTTTTGCTCCTTATAGCACGCAATCCCCCTCCCCCATCGTTCAAGTGGGGGAGAGTTTGGTTGGTTTGGTGGCTGTAAGCTATACCTAGCCACCTTCGGGGCCTACAGACTCCAGTAGCCTCCGTTTGCGGAGCCTCCCTCCTCCTCTTCCTCCTCCTCCCCTCTTCGTACGGGGGGCCATAAAAAAACGGAATTTTGCGCGGCGGTACGGCGGCCGGACTAAAGGACGCATATACGCCCCGTTTTATTCTCGGAAGGGGGGAGGGGGGGAGGGGGGGGGGTGGAGGCGTTCATGGCGTTCTTTCTTTTCTTTTTTTCCCATTTCTGCATGTCATGGGGGCATGGCATGGCATGGCATGGCATGGCGATGGCATGGCTTGCGGCCGAGGTTGTTTCGCCGTGAACGTTTAAACGTGGGTACGGTGTATGTCGGTGGCTTTTTCTGTTTTCTTTTCTTTTTTTTCTTTTCTTTTTTTCCCCTCTTCTGCTTTGAATTTTATATTTATCTTTAATCTCCCCGCCTCCCCTCCCTCCCTTACTAGAGCGAGCTCGCTTATGTTGTCATCTTCCCCTCCACGAGCATGCCCCGCTGGTTACACCATGCCTCCCCTTCCTCCCTTGTGCTGGAAACGAAGGGGAAAAAAGAAAGAAAGAATTGGGTGGCGAGGATGGAATGACGAAGAAAAAAAAAAGCCACTATATGCGGAATGAAGATAATGGTAATAAATAAACAAAACTAACCAATACCCACAGAAATCGGCGTGAATAAACACCCCAGGGAAAGGCGTGGCTGAACGATGAAAGCAAATGAGGGCGCGTCTCCCTTTTTTTTTTTTTTTTTTTTTTTTTTCCCCTCCTCCCTCTATCCTGGTGCCGCATCTCTTGCATCTCGAAGCCAGCCAGCTGATGCTTATTTACTCGCTTGTCCCTTGTTTCCTCGTTGAGAACTGACGAAGACGGCGACGGCATTCCCCCCCCCCCCCCCCCCCCGTTTTGGCGTCCACCTGAAAAGGAGGCTTGAGGTGGTTTCCTTGGGCAAGTCAGAGCTGTCCTTGGCGTTGGCGTTGGCGATGGCGGTATCTAGAAGACTCGACTAAGTCACGTCTTGCACGTGTGATCACCGCCCCGGACGACTGATCTACGCCTATTACGTTGTAGTACCTTGAAGGGGAGGCGTCCCAGGGTACTAGTAATACAAGGCGTTCTCTCTTGAGGTGAGATGAGGGCGTCCTACGTATAGGTACACTGAAGGAGAGGGACGGGTTAAATGCCCGGGGGGCTCCCGCCCCCCCCACCCACACCCCCCCCTGGGATACCCTCATCGATCGATGCTGGGATTCGAGAGCCTCTTCCTCTCTCTTATTCCCTGTTTCTCCATACCACGTATCTCTCTTCCGGGTCGCGGAGGCTAGTGGTCTGTCTCCCCGAACGCCACTGCGTTTGGATGATCAACCGCAACCCGGACGAGTGTGATATCAACTGCCCCCCCTTTTAGCAGCCCTGATGGGTTCAGCCGTCTACGTAACCCGCCTTGCCTGCTGCAGCGGGAGAGGGGGATGGGGGTGGCTTGCTTGGCCCAACAGGTCCTTATTGTTGTTCTCAATTTGGGGCAGGGGAGGGGAGTTTTTGCATCGTCGTCATTTGAGTTCCCAAGATACCTCCCCGTCTTTAATACGTCGCTTATCTGTACATGATGCCGGGCGTATATCTAACCACCCCTTTCCCTTCCTTACCCTGCCCGCTTTCGCGATACCACCGTCACGGCGGCGGCGGCGGCGGCGGCCGTCGATGTCGAAGGCGTCCCGGCGTGCGTGTATTCGTGTGAACCTTGATAACGACAAGTGCTGCGTGCGTGGTGTGTCGTACCGTGTCCGTCATGTTGGACAGAGATATGGCGATGCATGGCATGGCATGGCACAGCAGAGCAAGGGCCGGCGAGCAGCCGCGAGACGCTTGCTGCTTAAGGGTCCGCGTCGGGCGAAAGGGGGGGGGTCTCATTTGAGGCTGCTCCCTCGCGCTTCGCTGGCTGGGCGCTACGGCGCAGTGCGACGTTCGTCGCCGCCATGCCGGCACCCAGAACGTACAGCAGCAGCAGCAGCAGCAGCAGGCGCGCGCGTTTTGCCATGGCTATCTCCATGACCCTGGCCGAACGCTTCTGCCCAGGCATCAGCTTCCATTTGCCATCTCCATGTTCTCGTATCTTCTATCCAGGTATCCCATTCCCACCCCATACCTATCCATGTTCATGCGAACATATACATCATCATCAGGGATCCACCGGGTGCAACCTGCTTCGCAAAGAGGCGTTGCGGCGAGAAATTCTACGGTTGGGTGGACGCAGGGTGTGCATGGTCCGAAGAGACGCGAATGGGCGAGGACGAGAGCGGATACCAGGAGAGGGGAAGCCCTTGACGATCAATGACCACATGCTATGTCGACGACAAGAATGTTGGAACGGGGGACAACAGGCGTCAGCTCTCCTAGCGAGCAGGTTATATGCAGCCCAAGAGTGGTTCCCCCGAGACGGAGGAGGGAGGCTGACAGTGCATCGGCGGCGGCGGCGGCGGTAGCGAAGCTGGGCGCGGACCCGATGTTGCCGTGACGGGATCTCATGTAGACGGGTGGAGTGAGAGCCCACCGGCATGGTGTACGTACATGTGGAAAACGGATGAAATGTACGGCATGGCGAAGTGTGCTTGGGTTTGGTGGATTGGCGGGAGAGACCGAACTCGCGCGCCGATGGGGAAGACGGAAGGGGGACCTTGTAATGCCAGGGTGCTTCGATCAAAACGCCTCCTTCTCCTCCCCTCCCCCTACCGCATACTGAGTGGCTGCGCGATTGAACCGCCCAAGGGCTTGGCGGACGAGACCTCCCAAGATAACGATGGGGCGAGGTGGAGGGAAATCTGTGAGCTGCGGGTTGTCATAGATTCGACGAGAGATACAGACACGCATGCCCGCATACGGGTCTGACAGGCTAGTGTGTGTGTGTGGGTGTGTGTGTGTGTGTATCTGAAGTGGTGGATGGTGGAGAGGCGGGGGAAGAGTCCGTCAATGAGAGCATATTGGAGGTTGGCCCTGCGTTCCAGGCCTTCTCCGGCCCCACTCGGATGGGGCAAGCCCCGTCATCGTCTGCATGTCATGGTGCAGCACCGCGGCGGCTGGGATAGTACATTTGTGGGCGACGCAGTTTCGTGTGTGCATTGAGCAGGCACACCGAACATCCGATATGAAGAAGTGTGTGCGATACGGGGGGGAACTGGGATGCAACAGACAACACTCGGCTGGGCGGCTGGGCGCCGCGGACGGGGTCGCACGGCGTCAGGGAGATGGAGGCTCGGTCTGGACGACGACGCGTCAGTCCCTGGATTGGGTGAGCGGGTTGATATCACATGTTGCATACTCTGTGGGTGCTTTAGATCTGCCAGCGTTCGGCGCCACCACCGAATCCACCCATGGCGTCGTGAAGACGAGGTAGCCGCATATGCAGACGTAAGATGCAAGAGGTCCTATTTGCATATATATGTCGAAGCAGTTATAGAATACGCCATTGGGAGGAGCATCGGTTGGCTCGTTGGCCGGACCGCTGAGACGAGACGAGGGGGATCTGCTGCTTCTCCTGCTCCTCTTATTTGTTCCTTCTGTCATACTTTGCAGCCGCTGCTGTCTCTGTAACTGACCGAGGCGGCCAGATGTCCGTCATGGTTCCGTCGGGATGCCGTACGCTTATATCTGTTCCAACCAGCCCCGCCTCTACGCAACGGCGCAACGCCCAGCCCCGCCATATGGATTCGAGACTGGGAGAGTGAAATGAGCTCGGCGATCGTCTGTACACTGGCGGCAAATGGTCACGAAGCGGAGCACGGTCTGGTGGAGTCTGGGCGTGCCTACGTCACGACCCAGGACGCAGCCCGTATAGCACGAGCGGAACTGGGTTTGGCGATTCCGGCGTCACCAAAGCGGTCGTGTAACCAAAAGGGCATCTGCATCTCTATGCCCGTTCGTAGCTGCTCGGCCAGGCCATGTTCCGGAACGGCACTTCCGAAGATGGAACAGACCAAGCTCAGCTGTCCGCAGCGAAGGCCACTTCGGGCGGGATACGGAAGCTGGCACAGAACATGCGTTTCTTGGGAGCCACGTCCCGTACGTTGTAGATATCAACTTCTCCGTACTTGTCCGCGTCCCCGAGCTTGAGCCTGACGCCAATCTCAGCGTGGATGCGCTCGAGGATGTCGTTCAGGGGCACCTCGTCGTCGCTCTTGAGGGCGAAACAGTGAAGATGAACCATGGGAAGCTTGGCCGACGTGTACGGCTCAAAGAGCTTCTCGTGTCCACGATAGATGCCCTTGTAATGCTTTACAAACGTGTATGCGGAAGCAGGCAGGTTCATGACGAAGTGCGAGATCGTCGGCGGGATCGGGACGCGCTTCGGCTCGGGGGGCGGGTTCTGAGGCTTGCTCCGTGACTGCTTGGGCTTGATCACGGCGCCTTCTCCCCGCTTCGAGGCATCGTAGACTTGGTGCACGGCCTCCTGGATGAACTTGCGGCCGTCCATGTTGTACGGGCGGACGTATTGCGCGACCTGGCCTGTTAGATTGTACGTCACCCTTGACCTCGTCCTGGACTCACCTTGTTCTTCTCGACAGCCGCACTGAGGTATTTGTAACTTTCCGGGTTCATATCGTTGGCAAAGACAAAGACGCCTTTCCTTCCCGCAGGGACAGCAAATGGCCCGATGCCTGCCATAACATCCGCAACAACCTCGCCGGCCTTGAACTTGCTGATGAGTCTGGTGTGCTCCGGCTCCAGCTTGCTGTTCCAGTACACCTTGGAATAGTCGAACTGGAAGATGCAGTCGTTCTCTTTGACCTCAACATTCAGGTCGTCGGGTCCGCAGAGAACCTCGTACGCGAACGTCCTAAACACGGACTCGTGGCCAACATCATCTACCTTGTTGATGACAGTGCGGATCCTGGGGTTCTTGTCAAGGATGACCTCGGCGATGATCTTCTTGTATGGAAGATATTGGTCCTTGAGGTTGAGGTGCGCTGCGGCGATCAGTGGACATGATCTCAAAAGAAGGCCAGTCATGACCTACCAACATGACCAGCTGTGTTGAAGCCGACTGGAATCTCTACATGGAGCTCTTCAGGCAGTATAGAGGTCATGACATCAACTGTGACGACCGTCAGCACCCCATATCTCGTTTTCAAGTCGCCCCAGGCTTACGGTAGCTCCAGTAGTCATAGTCGAGGTCCAACTCGTAAGGGACGACGTCCAGTTCACCGGTCCTGACACCCTCTTGGAATACGGGCCCCCATGTCGTCGGCGCTGAGTGCGGTGTTAGTCGAAGGTCCGCGGCAAGTGACCGGCATCAGGGGAGCATACCATCGGCTTTCACACCGGGCCGCAGCAGGAGACACTTCAGCCCAGGAGCCTTGGGGTCGTTCCTGCAAGAGTCTAGGCGGTCGAGGGTCAATAGCTCTTTGGACTTCTCCAACTGCTTGCGGTACTTGGAGATGTTACGGGGATCCTTGACCGTAGCGGCAGCAAGCTCCAGCTTCTTGGAGAAAAGCGACCGGTCCAGAATGGTGGCCGCTCGGGCGAGAGGAGCGCGCAAGTTGATCATATCAGTGTCTTGTTTCTGTTCTAGCCGTTAGAGTGGCGTCCACAAGCCCGTACGACAGTCGTGCAGGGGTATTGACTTACCGCCATGTTGAAGAGTCGATGATCGGGCACAGTCATGGAGGGGCAAGGCTGAGGAAAAACTCCATTTAGCGCGGGGCAGGGGTCCAAAAGTGGCGCAAGGACAAGGCTGCGCCACATCTGTCAGGTGGACCGTTGCGCTGGACTGGGCGCCACAGATCGACTTCGGAGCTTCTATGATGTCAGCGTCGTTGATGATTGGCTGACAAGCATCTCCCAAGGGATGGGTGAGCTATACTGGTATTCATACTCTCATCATGACACAAACTATGTTCGTGAGCGACAGAGCGGTTCTCTTTCCTCGATACCTCCTATTTGTGGGCTTACAGGGAATGTAACTCAAAAGTGCAATTGCTTCCGATCAGTTTTAAGTTAGCCTTCACCAGTGGCGAGTGCTCAATGATGCCCTAGCTTGTCCATCACTTACACAACGTGGCATACGCCAACCGTTCAAGACTTGAAACACGCCATGTCTACAAAACGAACTCTCGACGCGTTCTTCACGCCGACCGCGAAGAAGTCGCGTCAGGAAGACGAGTCGGCCGAGATTGTATGGGCAAACATCCTGCCCTCCCCTCTGAGCTCGCGGACCACTAACATGAGCTCGCTTTTATACTAGATCAGACACTCTACCCATGCCAGCTATCCCATGGCCATCTCGGAGTTACCGTCTAGTATCAGCAAAGAACTCTCATCGCTTCCAGCGCGTCCGGGAAGGGAGATCAATGACCAGCCAGATCTCGACCTGATCTACTATGAACCATACATCCCCTCGTACCTGACCAATAAGCTCTTTGAGTTTCTGCGTTCCGAGTTGCCGTTCTATCGCGTCGAGTACGACATCAACAGGGGCGGGTATAAAACCCATATTCGGACGCCGAGGTACGCCGCTGCCATTTGTGACAATCAGTAGCATCTGCTGACGGACACAGGTACACCACAGTCTTTGGCCTGGACGAGACAGCCCGGTTTGACGAGGACGGCTCGGTCGTGGATGCCAAGTCCGGCTTCAAGGTGGATGACAAGCGATATGAGCGGTACCCGCCCCGCCCGATCCCCAAGTGTCTCGATGACCTCCGTCGCTCGGCTGAGGCCGCGACGGACTGCAGGTTCAACTTTTGCCTCGTCAACTACTACGCCTCGGGCGCGGACAGCATCTCCTTTCACAGCGACGACGAGAGGTTCCTGGGCCCCGACCCGGCCATCGCCTCCTTTTCCCTCGGTGCGCGACGGGACTTCTTGATGAAACACAAGCCCGTAGCCCCAGATGACCAGAACCCGGACAGGCCACAACCAAAACAGCTCAAGCTGCCCCTGGCCAGCGGCGACATGATTCTCATGCGCGGGCGCACGCAGTCCAACTGGCTGCATTCGATACCCAAGCGGACCGGAAAGAACGCGGGAGACGGCGGGCGGATCAATATCACGTTCAGGCGGGCCATGGTGAAGGATGGAACTGAGAATTACTACAACTATAACGTTGGGACCGGGCCTGTCTATCGGTGGGACAAAACGATGCGGGAAATGCGGTTGTCTTCCGCCAAAGACCAGCTCGAGGGAAAACCATGAGACTCTGATAGGGTATACGCAACCTCAACACCTCTTTTTATTTGCCTTTGCGGAACTGCGCCTTGGCGAAGTTGTTTAGCGCTCTCAAAAAGACCTGATATCCGACGCCCTGGTTGTCGGGTAGGCAGAAGATCTCGGTCAGGCGGATGGGCCAGGGCGGGTAGCCGTCAAGGTCGACATAGGGGCCGAAAGAGATGAGCAAGTCGGGCTCCGGCATGATGCCCTCGGACAACTCGGCATCGATCAAATCCGTGCTGATGTCGCCAGGGTGGAGCTTACCCTTCTGGGACATCTCGGTCAACGTTCGCGTGAGGTCGACCATGGAGTCCCGGCCGTCTTCGGCGGAAATAAAAAGGACCTTGAGATGGCGCGGGTCGTCGCGTACGAAGTCGCCGTGGGCGGGCGATTCGAGGACATCATCGAAATGGGGCATGGCCACGGTGAGGGACGGCTGATGTCTGCCAAAGTAGGATCGGGACTTTTGGATGATGGACTGCTGGAGATGGGGGAGGTAGTGCTTCAGGAGGCCTAGAAAAAAAGTGTTAGGAACGACAACCGCATGTTTCCTGTCCTGCCACAGCTTACCTGTTCGCTCGTACACCGTCAAAACGGGGATCTTGGCACACACGCACCAGACGGCAATTTCGGCCGCCTCGGCAACCAGCCTCTCCAGCTCGGCTCCATGTCTGCCGCCCTCTTCCCGCTTCAAAATGACACTGAGATGCTTCGGCTTCTTCTTCAGGCCGACGACGTCGCGCTCGATGTATTCAGGGGTTCGATGGTGATAGAACAAGATGGAGGATACGTGGTAGCACACCAGGTGCCATGCCTGTCGTATTCTGATGTACAGGGAGAAGAGGGCGTGCAGGATCATGTAAACGGCGAGGTGCAGTTTCGTACGCAGGGCGCGTCGCAGGCCAAATCTGCCCTTGGAAGGGATGCTGTCGTCACGCCATTGGTGTTGCGCGTCTTCGGGCGGTCCGTCCGGGAGGTACTCCTGGGACAGAGCTGTCAGCTGACGGCCGGGTGAAATGGGGATGTTGAAAGGGCCGTACCTGTAGCAATCTTCTCTTCTCATCGTCCTCGAGGTTTGCCACGTCGTCCGTCCTCAAGACCCTGCGATCCCTTTTGCTGGGCATTTTGGAGGATTGTGGTGGTGGTGGTGGTGGTGGTGGTGGTTCGCGATGCGATCGGTCAAGAAGCGTAATGTGTTTGTATGAAGCTGCAGGTAGGTTGCCGAAAATTGTTGAGTGGAGGGAGAAAAGTCGATGCGAAAGCTGGCGCGGGACAAGCAACTATGCGCTAGATGGGGTATATGATGAAGGGAGGCCACGTCGTACGCGGTGTGTGTGTATTCGTAGTTCGTGAGTCGTTCTTGGCGGGATGACGACGTCTCGAGCGAAGAAACTTGTCGAAACGCAAGTTGGACTTATCGCCCAGAGTTGGCTCGGTAGCTGCCCCGGAGGTCCATGAGGAGTGCGACGCGGTAATACGACATTGGTTGGGCTGGTGGATTCCTGGTGGATGCTGCGCCGCTACCTACAGCAAAGCTCTCCGTGGCTGAGGGCTCAGCTGAGGTGTTCTTTCCCGACTGAGAAGGGGTACGTACCTTGTCCGCATCAGGGCAAGTCCCGGTACTCCAGCCACCCATTGTGCCATTGGCCCCATTAGCAGCGGCCGGTGCGCATTCCGGAAGGGAAAAAAAGTTGGGCACACTTTCGGACGCCCGAGTTTGCTTGACGCCGCATCCTCTTCCGGCCCGAACCCTTGCATCTCTCCCGAGAACGCCGACTGCCCGTGCTCCGATGTTTCGGATAGACCCGAACGCAGGGTCCGGCATAGGCGGGAGAGCTGATCGGGGGAGGTTTCATGTCCATGCCGGACTTGGTTACAAAGACCCTCAAACTTGCTGCCGAGGCCGTGCCTTCCAGGCCAGCTAGCTGCACGATTGATGCTCGTGTAAGTTGATTGGGTTCCGTCATGTAATTGAGATAGTTAGCCGGCTTTCGTGAAGTTTACTCGTCTTTCCTTACCCCGTCTTCTCCGCAGGCTATCATCTGTATGGCGGCATGGTCATCAACCCAACGCATTGCGTAGTTCCTTGGGCACCAGCTTCTGTTGGTTGGTCCTACGTCGCATCCCGCTTCGGCCGGTCGACATGCAAGTGCGGGTAGCGAACCAACAGGAGGCACGGCAATATGTGCCCATAAGCCTATCATGCCGCCATGCAGCAATCCCTCCTCGGCTCAGCCTGATGAGAAATGTGACAAAGGGAAAAGGAAGAAAAGGCCTCATGCTGCCCTTCACCCCGCAGATTCACATTTTCACCAAGTTGACCGGCACCTGACAAGGGAAAGTTTGACCGAATCGCAGCTTTGCTACCTGCCTGTACCAGTAGCCAAAACCGCCACCTCTATAGGTCTGGTGTGCATGCGACTGAGTGAGGTATTCCCCAGGCTATCAGCCATTCTAGTTGTTGGTACTGGCGCCTGTGTGCCATTCAAGAGACACGACGTGCGTCTGGGCGACATTGTTGTTGCAGCTTGCTCCTCCTCCGCCGTTGGCGGTGTCATTGACTACGACATTACTCCCGCATCTGATGGTTTTGAACCTGTATATAAAGGGGACATCGTGCGGCCAGTACCGGCTCTGCAGCTGGCGGTGGAGCAACTCGAAAACCATCATGTATTCAACGGGACATGCTTTGACCAGAGTATCCGCGAGACTATCGAAAAGCATCCAAAGCTGTTGGATACTCATAAACGCCCAAGATCCAACAAGAACCAGGTTGTCGTGGAGCCCCAAAACAAGGGGCCACTCAATGACACCCATACCAATCCCTTAGACTCAGAAGACACAAGAAAATAAATCCCACTGCGTCGGGACTGTGAGAAAGAACCCAAGGTCCATCACGGCACGATCGCTTCATCGAGCCAGCCACTTAAGCGATCTGAGGTTCGAGATCGAATTGCAGGAGAAAAGGACGTGTTGTGTTTCGATGTTGGAACCGCCGCCAGAGGCCAAGTTCCTCGTCTGGTCATTAGGGGAATATGTCATTACGCAGACTCCAGTGACAAAGATCAGTGGGACGGGTACGCGTCGATGGCCGCAGCCGCATACGCGAAGGACTTTCTGAAATACAACCCGCCAAAAACACTCACAGAAGAGCCGGTTGGAAGAGACCTCTCCGGTTTCTCGGCTTCAGCAACCGGCATTCCAAGGTAGGCGATCAACAGCTGTTACTTATTGAAACCTCAGCTCGTATGGTGAAGCAAGGATGGACTTCAGCTAACTATTCATTCAAAGCGGGCTTCACGAAAATGCACATTCTCGTTTTGGACGCGTCACATTCCGAGAGTATCTGCGCGGATTATACGATCAGCCCATGGTAGCATCGATGCCTGGTATAGACCCTGGCACTGATCATCCCATTAGATTCTCCAAATGTAACCCGATGTTTCACCAGTCAGCGTTGGTAGTAATCTTTGCAGTCCTTTTCATGCTCAGCGGAGCCACGATTGCAACCGCGGTATCCCAGAGCCGCGAGCCGGCTTGCGACCCGCGGCCGAGAGGCCTCCGCGCCGACGACGGGTTCTGGATGCTGCTGAGCCAGCTTTCCCTCCAGGTCCTCTCCATCTACTGCACCGTATACCCCGTAGTGCTCAACACAGAGCTGAAGCTTTCCATCGCAGGATTCTGGTTCTGGGCGTCTCTGGCCGCCAGCTTCGTGGCTACCGTCACAGCGGCCGTGGCCTATGCGTGGAGTTGGCAGGTGGCTGCCGTTCTGAGCTTCACATCGAGTTTCGCCCAAATCCTACCTGCAGGACAACTGGCAGCAAGTCTAGGTCCCGATGATACGAAAAAACGGAGGGCTCGAAGAACGGGAGTGTCCAAGGCGGAAGAAGGCCATTATGATTAGTTGCTCTCGCAGCCCGCCTCGACAACTTTCTTTCACTGGCAATTGTCAACCGACTACCGGTGCTGGACTTGTCGTATAGTGCTGCCGTCGTCCTCAAGGTAGTGGTGAACGACGAAGGGCTGGAAGGGGGGGGAGGGTGGTGTTATTGAAACCGAAAACCCAACATCGAATCAAATGCCATGAACCTGACGTTCTACACACGTATAATCTGTCCGCAATATATTGTGTTCTCCTGTGCCTGAGATGACAAGCCAGTGCGTATGTTGCAAGATGAGAGGCCAATTACCCCCGCGCACAAGCTCTCGCCCTTGGGCATCCCAGCCCAAACCTCCAACCCCAACTTCCTCATCCCAGCTCCCTCGTCACGACTGCCGCGGCGTCAGGTGGATCATAAGCGGCGTCTTGCTCCAGACGATGTAGCAGCTCTGGTCGGTCCAGTCGCGGCTCGCCTCGTCGAGGCGTAGGTCGAACGCCCAGATGACGCGGGCCAGCATGACGCGCATCTCGGCGTAGGCGAGGTTCATGCCGAGGCAGTTGCGGGGCCCGACGTGAAAGGGCCGGAGGGCGTCGAGGCGGTCGCCGGCGAAGGCCGGGTCGTCGCCGAGCCAGCGCTCCGGGTGGAACCCGAAAGGCCTGGAGAAGAGCTTTTCGTTGTGGTAGAGGGCCCAGTGGGCGATGCCTATTGTTGTCTGTGGTTCCGCGCGTTAGCGGCGAGAGGTGATGGAACAGCACGCCCGTCTTCTTCTTTTTCCCCCAAGGCCGAGGAGGCCGCGATGGCACTCACGTTACCCGGAATCCATCGCCCAAGGATCTCCGCCCCTTCCGGGGGCGTCCGCCGGGGTATGGCGGTAGGAACGGGGGGGTACATCCTTAGGGACTCCTCGAGGACGGCGTTGAGGTAGACAAGCTTGGCAGTGCTCAGGAGGTCGATCTCGTCCTCGCTTGCAAAACTGCTGCGGACTTCGCTGCTGAGCCGGGCAAGGGCGTCCGTGTTGGTGGCCAGGAGGTAGGTAGCGCCGGAGAGCGCTGAGGCCGTCGTCTCAGAGCCAGCTATGACAAGCAAGCCGGAGTTCTCGTACATCTCTTCCTGGCTTAATGGCTGCAAGAGGAGACAAGTTGGTCATTGTTTACTATTACAGGAGGAACTCGAGTAGCTGATAGATGAGGAGGGAATTAGAGCTACTTACCTCGTTTCCCTTCTTCAGCATGGACTCAGCGAAGTCAGGCCGTGGTGTGCCAAGTGCCATCCGCCGGTCGACCTTCTCGCGGACAAAGACGCGGTGTGACTTGCCCTGCTCAACAAGGTCCCTAGGTACGAGCATCTTGAGCAGTGGTGCGAGGATCCAGAAGCTGCGGGCAAGGTTGATCAGGGACAACATCTTGATGTTCTCGAAGATGACTCGGACCCAGGGGTGGTAGTTGGTGGAGCGTTCGAGGCAGCCGAAGGACTCACCGAAGGTAAGGTCGCCGATGATGTCCAAGGTAGTGGAGCTGTACCACACCACCATGTCAACGGGGCCCCGTCCGGCAACGCTGCGGAGGCGCTTCGTGAAGAGGTCCATGTAGGTCATGATGATAGGCTGCTGGTCCTGCATACTGCGGGCAGAGAAGCTGTGGGAGAGTATGCGGCGGTAGCGCGCGTGGTCACGGCGGCCAGCTGAGATGATGTCGATCCGGCGTTCTTCGACGATGTCTGGGTCCTTCTCGTTCTCCCAGGACTGGCCGCCACCGCTGCGATGACCCATGATGTCCTTCCAGGCGTCGGGGTGCTGGAAGGAGAGCTCGTTAGGGGAGATGCGAACGATGTCGGCGTCATAACGCTGGTGGAGGTTGAGGATAGTCTTGTGCGGGTCACCGCGGATAATCATGAGGGCATAAGGAATACGGGTAGCGGCCCAAAGCTTGGGGCCTGGGTACTTGCGGAGGGGATGGAGGGTGACGTTGTAGAGAATCATGAGCAGAAGGCCGGCGAGGCCCTGATGGGTCACCGTTAGACGCTTAATAAAGCAGTGTACGTAATGGGCCACGGAGAATTGTGATGTATGAAGTAATGGGGAGGAGGCCTTACTAGTGAGACTGTCGCCAAGGGCCAGAAGATGAAGGCCGAAAGCCTCGATCCCCCAAATTGGATCTCCATTATCAATAGAGTGCTATGAGTGAGCCACCTTCGGTGCAGGTTTAGGGGGGGGGGGGGGGTACAGGTCAGTATGGAATCAGTTTAGATCATAGTCTCAATGAATTTCCTTTCGGCTTTTATAGAACAAGACGTCTGGAGGCAGGATATGATACGGACAACTCGAAAGAGGGAGGCTACTGAAGCCTCTTATGTTGGTTTCCCGACATTAGCCCCGACCACGACATCCAAGAGCAGCCATAGCCTTCCAAACCCCTTCAGGTGACAACGTCACACACTGTACCATTTGCCTTGACGTCGATGGGCAATAGTATGGTCTGGGTTGGACAGGCCAAGTGGGCAGGTTCCGACATCGCCCAGACGGTGCCAACAAGAAGCCGCCGTGCGTGAAAATCCGCCACGGCTCCATCTCGCTAGTCGTCATGAGGCTCGATATTGCAGATCCGAAGATGTTACTCACACAGCCGACGAGTACGGTCCGCCCCGCATCATCCCCCCCTCCTGACATGATCGACGAGCCGTCCGTCCAGGAGCAACCCTACTTACTGTTCAATCCCCTCTTCCGTCATCAAAATCACACCTGTTGTGAAACTTGGACAAGAGATAAAGCTGGCTCCTGCTGAAGAAGAAAAAAACACACTGACGACTGACACGTGTCTGACAGGTAACGGCGGGTGAGGCGGGTGAGTGAGGCATGAGTATGCCTGATGTTTTCCCCCGGCATCGTGCCGCCGAAACTGATGCATCATGTCGCTCAGGTTCTCTTGTCAGAGGGGGCGGCAGTTCGGGGTCGAGCTTCGTCATATTGGAAAAACCTCAACGACCTGTACGCGCGCGGGGGGGGGGGGGTTCGGTGGTCCACTCGCAACATGGGAGCGGGGTGGCGCACGGCGTGCATACCGTGCTCGACGGCCGATGTTACACCGCAGCCATGGTCTCCGAGGGAGCAAATACTTAGTAGCCAGCCTCCAAGTCCGCAACGGGCCGAGGAACATGGCGAATCCGTCATGCGGAGAATGTCGTAATCGGGAGGGCACTGTGGCTGCGAGGACATGACGAGCCCCCCCGGGGAGGTTTTTGACCAGCGTAAAAACCATCAAAAGTCCGCCGCCATCCAGCGGCGCCGATCTGTTGTTGTTGATTGTGTGAATGGGGGAGTATGCTCCTGATGTTGTGGGCGGGCATTTTTTCGGACAACGAACCGGCACAACTTATAAACTCCCGATGTGTCAGTGAGGGGCTTTGGGATGATTCACTGTGAGATAATACTGAATGGCTCCGGTGTAGTTCCTCTTGCTCTGTGATGGTGTGGAAGGGTGGGTGATACACTGGGCACACGCAGGCTGGACCCTACACCGACGCCAGCAAGGCTCCTTTCTGTCCACCAAGCTTCCGTCTCGTTCTCATCCGAACTTATCGGCTCATGTGAATGTCCTCTTGACGCGTCGTATTGGCATAATGCTACATACCGTTGACCTGGCCCAATACGGGCCTCCCATCTCCCAAACATATGACGACGAAATGACACGAGCGTCGAGGTGCGAAAGCGAGAAGAGCCACCTGCCTTGCGAGCATATCCGGCATTCATACTCTCCGGGAGGCCGCATCGCACCCCAGCCATCAGTACCATGGAGGTTCTGACTGTCCGGTTGGCCCTCAGTTGGAATCCGGTGCGACACTCCGAGCCTCGCACCAATGCCATCAACCCCCCAATTCTTAGCTTCCTTTGTTCAGTAGTTGCGTCGTTAAAGACACGGGCCAGCCCGTCACGCTACACCCTCCCAAAGAAAATCACCGGAAGGGGAGGGGGGGGGGGGAGGGATGGCGGGATTGGTCAAGACTGGCAGTCGTGCATTAGCTCCGGGGCTGGAAAGGAAACGATACTACCTAGCTAGCTACTTGATCATGCAAGCGATGTGGTTAGATCAACGCAGGCTTGGAGGACTGTTGCAACGCCATCTGAGGCCTCGCCGCGTATCGATTACCTTCTGGACGGAGCCCCGATTAATCGGGATACTCGGCAGTCGAATTACCCAATGAACGATCGGGTTGCTATGCAAGTTAATTTCAACATGACGTTAATGGTCTAAAATGACCTGTTCCGGCGTACATGACTGGCTCGACGGTACTCAAGACTATCATTAGCAGTCAGTCAAGCAAGGAGGAATAAAGCCACCTCGATGGCGAAAACGAACACAAAATTTCGGGGGCATAACCTCGAAAGACCCAGCTCCAGTAGCACAAAATACCACTTTCATCCGGGCATTCGCCGCTCTGTGCAGTCAGTCAATTAACCCGGTAGGCCATCCCGAGGGCACGCCGCTCCGAGGCGAGGGGTCCGAGATCGAGGTCCGAGATCGGGGCCCGGTCGGGGCATCTCCACAACTTAAAATCCATTGAGGAGGCAGGCGCTCCGGCTTATCTCCGCACGCGCGCCGCCCTCGTACGATTTCGACATTCGCTGGCTCTCACGGTAACCCAGTCCTCTGCTGCCATCTTCCAGCCGCCCGATCAAAGTCGCAAGTCGGAAGAATCGGTTTCCCGCCCAAGGCCATTTCGAAACCGTACTTTGCCGGGGCCCCCTTCTACCCAACCATGGCTTTCACAGTCTTGTCGGACGGGAACGTGAAGCAGCTCTTCCAGGGCTTCGGCCCCGAAGACGTGGCCCTCATGTCCGACGTCCTCACCGACGCGTTCCTGTCGTACTCGGTCGGGCAGGAAGCGCAGTACCAGCCCCACCGCGCCGCCGTGGTCCGGCCCGACGGCCAGACCGGCCTCTTCATGCCGGCGACGATGGAGGGCGGCATGTCCGTCAAGATCGTCGGCCTCCCGCCCCCGTCTTCCGGATCTACCGATCTCCGCTGCGTCCTCACCGTCTGCGACGGCACCGGCAAGGCGGTCGGCATCATCAACGCGGAGGAGCTCACGGCCTTCCGGACCTCTCTCGGCTCCATCCTGCTGTACCGGTACCGGAAGCGGACCGACAACATCGTCGTCTTCGGCGCGGGGAAGCAGGCCCTGTGGCATCTCCGGCTCGCCCTTGTCCTGCGGGCGGGCGACATCGCACGCATCACCATTGTCAATCGCTCGCAACAGCGCGCTTCCAAGCTCGTGGAGCGGCTAAGGGCCATGGGAGAGGCCAGCGGGGTGGGAGGCACCGACAAGGTCGCTTTCACCGTCATCGAGGCGACCCCTGATAGCGCTCCGGGCAACGCTCCCCTCCGCTCCGTCGTCGAGGAGAGCGACGTCATCTTCTGCACGACGCCGTCTACTCAAAGCCTGTTTCCCGCCGAGTGGTTGACTTCCGAGCACGCCTCGGCCAAGAGCCGGTACATCGCCGCCATCGGGTCCTACAAGCTCAACATGAAGGAGATCGACCCCGCCTTCCTCCGCTCTGTCATAGACACCCCTCTGGGGGCTTTCAGCTCTGTCCATGGCGGCAAGGACGGCGTCATCTTCGTGGACAGCCGCGAGGCGTGCTTCTTGGAAGCCGGAGAGCTGGTGGAGGCCGAGATCCCCGCCGAGAAGATCACCGAAGTTGGAGAGCTGGCTGATAAGCTTCGTAGGGCGGACGAAGCCGAGGCGAAGCTGCTGCGGGACTGGCTTGAAAACGGGTTGATCGTTTACAAGAGCGTCGGAATCGGCATCATGGACCTTGCTCTGGGCAAGGCCATTCTCGAGCTGGCGGGGAAGCATAAGATTGGCACGATACTTCCTGACTTTTAAGCCTGGCCATTGCGATAGTTTGCAACATCGCTCCTCGCAGGAGTTGGTCCGATATGTAGGATCGGCAAGGAGAAAGAGTCACTTGCATAGGTACGACGACACCGAATGAGTTGGGCCATCTCATAACCACCACCACCTTTCCGCGCATAAATAGTGATGAACGAGTACAAGGGCCACTCCTTTTTCCAATTCACCGCGTCGCCATAGATATACCCAGCTCATTTGATTCACGCCAGTAAGCGGGCATTGTGGTGCAGTGTTTTTTTATATGGCCTGTGGCCGACGTTCCAGTGCAGAGAAGTTCCATCACAAACCGGGTTTTCCCTGCACTTTTGAGGGTGGTCTTTGTCGAGTGCGCAAAATACCGCTTTCTTTTGCCCCGAGTTACCTGTATCTGCACTCACCTTCATGGCTAAGCTGGAGAAACCCCTTGCAAAAGGCTGGTTTCCACTGGTCAAGGAGACACAAAGCAGACCGGCCGCAACTTGGGAGGTCGACGGAGATGGAGACGTGATCATGAAGGGCACGGCAACTGTGCTTGGTGAGGCGGCAGTCGAGCCTTGCAAATTTCAGGAATTTGACAAATATGGGGATGCCATCGTTGGAGGGCGTTGAAGTTGGATTCCGGCAGAGACAGCTCGGGGTGGCAGACTTCGGCCTCGACTCTTAAGCTCGATATCCGTATCCATCCCGGATCCGCTTCCAGTCGAGCCATCTGAAAGCCTACGCCGCCAGTCCCCGGCCGCGCAGGGTTGCGTCCAAGTACGGATCTAATTACGCGATGCGCGTATGCGTGGATGGGTGGTATAATGGGGTAAAGGGAGGCCTGTCTCGTTTGGAGCCTATAACAGTTTGTTGGTTTCGACCCTGCCTTAGATTCACTAAAATATACGGCTGTAAGACGACGGCAGCACTAACCCCAAGTATTTGAGCAAAAGAAAACAGCAAAAACGAACTCTGTAACTCATTTTTGTCTGACGGCAAGTAGTGATATACCGTATTAAGCTCTACGTCCACCCCGTCTAGCTCTATGCTGTGTCCATGGTGTTGAGTCTAAGTCTGCCACTCCTTTTTCAAGCTCTGGGCTGCCCTTCTTCCGACTAGGCAGTCAACGCTTCTTCAGAGGCGCCCGCTCGTACTGGTTTGCCCACTTGACGTTCACCCCGATCTCGTCCGCGATCTTGTATACAAAGTTTGGCTCCCGCAGAAACTGCCTGGCAACGAGCACCGCGTCCGCTTGCGTCACCTGCCCGTGCTCCTCGTCCACCTCTAGCGTCGCCACGTTCCCCTGATCGGCCCCGTTCTGCCCGTTGGCCTGCGCGTGCTCCTTCGCCCTCTTCGCTTGGACAATGCTCCGCGCCATCTCGCCGCTGCTGATCATACCCACGGCGCCGATGAGCAGCTTCTTCCCGTCGGCCTCCAGCGCCGCGCGGATGCGGCCCGCGAGGCTGACCTGATAGTACGGACTGATCTCGATCTTGGCCGCCTCGTTGTTGCCGCCGGAAGAGACGTCCAGCAGGTCGACGCCGGCTTCCGGCAAGAGCTTGGCGAGTTTGATTGAGTCCTCGATCGTCCAAGAGGGATTGCCGGCGTACTCCATCCACTCTGTCGCCGAGATGCGGAGGAAGAGCGGCATGCCGGACGGAATGACGTCGCGCACTGCCTTGAGGGTCTCGAAAAGAAAACGCGTACGGTTCTCGAAGCTGCCGCCGTACCGGTCCGTACGTTTCTGGGATAAGGTCAGTCGCTGCTCCGAGACAACATTTGTGGAGGGATGGCTTACGTTGGTCAGAGGGGAGAGGAACTCGGTGAGCAAGTACCCGTGAGCGCCGTGAATCTCGATCAGATCGACGCCAGCCTCAACCGCCCTCTTGGCCGCGTCGGCAAAGCTCTTTACGAGCCCCTGGATCTCCTCGACGGTCAGCTCCCGCGGCGTGGCCCAATTCTCGGCGTAGGGGATGGCGCTCGGCGCAACACAGTCATCGGGCCATCCGCCCTCGCTCTCATGCGCGAGCCACTTGCCGTGCCTCTCCCTGATCCACGGCGCCAAGTTGCTCGCCTTCCTCCCCGCGTGGGCGAGCTGGATGCCCACGGTCTGGTTCTGTGAGTGGATGAAGTCCACCACCCGCTTCAGCGACACGACCTGGGAGTCCTTCCACAGCCCGACATCCTGGGGCGAGATGCGGCCCCGCGGCTCGACGGCCGTGGCCTCGATGATGGTTAGCGCGGCGCCGTGCAGCGCGAACTGGCCTAGGTGCACCAGGTGGTAGTCCGTCAGGTGGCCGTCCTCGGCCGAGTACTGGCACATGGGGGAGACCCAGATGCGGTTGTTGATGGTGACGTCGCGGATCTTAAGGGGTTGGAAGAGCGTCGGCACGGATGAGGCGTCGACGGGGGTGCCGGCGGGAGGCTCCTGAGCAGGGGTCCATAACGACACGCCTGAGGCGGTCTTGGTAGCGGCGCCGCCGGTCATCGTGCTGGGAAAGGGAGTGGGCGAGACGCTGGGAGAAGTCTGCGTGCGTAATAGTGTTGTGCTACCTGTGTTGAGAATCCACGTGGAAGGGGTGTTGTTCTGGCTAGTTGTTTCGAATCGGCGATGGTGACACAAAGACCTGGGGGAGGGGACTGAAGAGGGAGCGAGGCTTTATTCTGCTAGGGTTGCGAGAGACCAACGCCGGGATGTATATTCCAGATCAACGAGTCTCTGGGCCTTTTCTCTCGATTTGTCAAGTGCGCCGGTTCCTGATGACAGGTCTGTTTTGCTGTTATTGGCGAGTAATGCCCAGTTGCTACCCTTTGGATTACCCTATCTAGGTATTTGTACTTGTAGGAAAGTATGACAAGCCATGCAAGGGAACCGGATTTATCAGCTCGGGCCAAAGAGTCTCCATCTCACCTTCTAACAGGACGAAATACCGCATCCAACGCGGTCTTGCCGAGACCGCTTTCCTTCGACGAAGCCGTCCCGCGCCTGCTGATTAATTGTAGATGAGCGGATGGGCGGCAGCCTACTTGCCGTGCTACCCACACCCACCTAGGCCGGAGCGGCCC